TGAACTTGTTAAACATTGAAATATATTGAATAGATGGATATATCATGTTTGTACATCATCAATATATTAATATTGTTGTTTTAAGATTATTATTCAACAATATTTTGCTTCCATTCATTGTAATAATGTCATTTGAATTAACAATTATCACTAAATAGTATATTGTTTCACCTGAATATTTTAACGAGTGTTCATTGCTTTAAAAAAAAAGAAATCACTATAATTAACAACATGAATGTTTGTAAGAAACTATTATCAACTTTTATATAAATGAATATTGTGCGAATTATCGATTTAACAGGTTTCCTGAAGAGTTTCAAAGATTTGATATATCAAAAATAACTTGTACCACAAACCCCTTTTTGGCACTTGATACTTCATGAGAAATGATAGAGAGTTTTATCAAATCAACGACACGATGATTTTAAATATAATCCGACTTAACTTATTTCCTAAACCAACAATATTTTAATGTACAACTGTATATTTAGTATTTTATATGTTTTGTTAAGTTAAGTTATAATTCTATACAGAAATCATTGTCATATTAAGTACTTAATATTTATATATTTCTAGAAGAAATTATAATTTGTACCTTTAAAGTAAAATTAACTGATATTTTTATTCTAATGTCTAATGAAGGAATCGTCTGAAGTCTAAAATTAAGTCTCGTCCCCAATATCCTGTAGTGTAAATATATAAATATCACTGTATGTCTCTGGTGTTCAAAGACAATAATCAACTTCCGTCTTGACCCCCAAAATCGAATATATTCTTTTTACCGACAGTAATTATTTTCAACTCTTTCCCATTCACTATTAATTAAAAACTAAATAATTTTCCAAATTGTTTACATTGTATACGGTAATCACCGACAATCAAGACAATACTACAACTCACTTAAACCGTTTAAAGTATAAATCTAATCTGGATTAAAGTTTTAGAATCCAATCAAGTTAAGATTGGGTTGTTTTAAGTACATTCGGTACCTGAAGTATATAAGAACACAATATTTGGGTACATCATTTTACACATTCAAGTGAAGAGTGATAGCAAGTGTAGAGTCAAAATGAAATCAATGTCTAAACAAGTTTTATCAAAACGTTTAAGATCTAACTGGTCAATGAAGAATCCACAAGATGTTTTAAATAATGGAAGAATAGATATTGATGAGAATTTAAAAAGTCTTCAATGGTTACAAGATCTCAACATACCAAATGTTCCTGTATCAACTAGACCTATATTACAAGAACAGAGAGAAGTTTATAATAATACTAATATCAATAGTAGAAATACTATTCAACCACCAAGATTACCATTAGATTCAGTTAGTTATTCTAAACTAAATACTGTAGATTATAATCAAAATCCATATATAAAACCACCATATTCTTATTCTGATCTTATAACCATGGCAATTAAAGATACAGTAGATAATAAAATAACTATATCATCTATTTACAAGTGGATTACAGACCATTTTTTATACTACAGAATGACCACAATTTGTTGGCAGAATTCTGTTCGACATAATTTATCATTAAATAAACGTTTTGAAAAAGTTCCCAAAGAGAGGAATAATTTTGGAAAAGGTGGATATTGGAGAATCAAACCAGAATATGAGAATAAAAGAAAGATATATGAAGAAACTATACCAAGTGGTAAAAGAATGAAGTTACATTATGATAATGTGAGAAATTTCTATCCAAATCAAGGTCAAGAAAAGATAACTCCTTCAAGTTGTATTTTACAACAAGCCATGGATTTTAGTGGTGTAGATATTAAAACTGAACCGATTTTAGATGAGGATGTTTTCATCAATTCCACTGTCAAGTCACCAAATAGTGATGATGAGAAATCCCGTGATAGTGATTCACCAAATAGTTATAGAGGATATTCACCTTACAGTGATGATGCTAGTTTACAGTATGGTGATGATAATGTCCATTCACCAACTGAGCCTATCAAATCACCAAGTACTGTTACAGAATTCTTAGATTTATTTGATTCTTTAAAGGACTGTGACCAATATTATAAAAATGATACCAATCTGACGAATAGTGAAAGTAATATTGACAATGATTGGTGGGAGAAAGCCTTTAATTTAGAAGATTTGAATAAAGAAAGTGAAGTTTTAGAGAAATCAGATATAAACCAGTTTTCAAGTTATAATAATAATAATATTTATAATATAAACAATAATGAAGATAATTTATTTAATATATTTGATATTTAATGATAATATTATGTTTATATATTTATAGTGCTATATATTTATTGTTCTATTTATTATGCTATAAGAAATAAATGTTTTTATATTAAACAATGTTTTTTCATTACCAAATGCGGATATTTTAAGATTTTTATGTCTCGAAAGGAAATACCCGCTGAAAAACCAAGTTGTAGAGAGGCATCTGATGAGAAAGTTAGACTACTGGACTTACTGATATTATAATGATATTTCTAAGAAACATTTTGCTGGAGAATGAGAATACAAACTTGAGACTGTCGGTGAAATATGGAAAATATATATGAGGACATGCAAGTATATATCAAAGAAAACTTGATTGAGGTAGTGAGGAACGAAGTTTCAAGTTTTCTCTGAAAGTTTTTTCAGCAGTTTTGTACAAAGTAAAAAGGCTGCAATACCAGGCATATACCATTGTTTATCGTTGACATGGACGAACGATTTTCATACAGAAGACATTATGGATTTATGGAATCATTTTTTCGAGTTGAAAATAAATGCGATCCATATAATCAGCAATAGCTATTGTAGCACAATATTTAACGTCCAGTTTAGTAGGTTGGATTTTTAGAACTTAATATGATAAGGTAAATTTGGTTCTGGACTGAAAGTACCTTCAAACGAAATTAAAAAAATATATATATAAAAAGTTGTCTCCCTTACACTAAATAAACTTTCAGAGCTGGATAAGATAGTGCACTATAGTCTTGAAATAACATACATTTTTATGTTCTCTGTCAATAAAAGGTCACATTGGACTATAAGACTCAAAATAACAAGCCATGTAAAATGTAGTTGAAATCTGGCGATTTTCTGTGAGAATATCGATCAATATAATTAAGGACAAAGATAAGGTAATTCATTTTTTTTTTGTAATATCCAATTGAAGTATAATCATTATACATTACATGACACTCTTGACTAGATGTACATTATTCACCGTCATGTACTAATACTTTATCTTTAAAGAGAAAATTACAATCAGCGACATCTGTCTGAATAATTATGTTTAAAAAAATCTTATCATTTGTATATGGTGCAATGCGCATTTCATATTACCATTATATAAAGAAATGGCCGATGTTTGAGCGTAGCTTCATTTTGACTTTACGTTGCTAAATCATAACCATAACCAGATAACAAACACTGCTGACGTAACACATCTGAGGATGTTACTTCAGTCAGTTGAATAACAATAAATTGGCGTCATGAGTTCCGATCTTAAGACGTGAACATGACCATAGTCCACATAGCGTAGGCTGAAGTTTTACAACCTGGAGTTAATGTGAAATGTTAAGGGGGTAATTTTGAAATTTTAATAGGGTTATGAGGTGCTTTGTAGTCCAGCATAAAATCTTAGGACAATTATTATTTAAGTCGGTCTATTCAGTCAAGTAATATTATCCGACATGAACAAGATTGCAGAGAAAACTTCAGAGAAAATCACGAAATAGTAAAGGTTTACAGGTGGAAGGGAGGTAATGTAATCGATGAAGTATCCTGAAATGAGTAATAAAAAAGAAAAACCTCCCAATCCTTCTTCTGCCACTGCGTACAAGATCAAATAACATTCCTGAAATAACATTTGAAATAATAAAATTATCCTTAATCAATCCTTTAAAGTGTTGACTAATGAAATACAATACATACGTTATATACGTAATCAGGTTAATGACAAAAAACGGTATCAGCGTAAAAATAATTGATAACGATTGTGTTATATTGACCCTTGAAGTGGATATTTCCTCTCTTGCAAACAAAGGTAAAAATTTTTCACATATTGGTTTCTGTGTGCTGTGATGTTAACAAGTCCGATTTTAACATTCTAGTCAAATAAATCGCGGATATAAATCCTTATTATTTTCTATTGCCTAGTGTATGTCCTGTACCATCTCTCTAAAATGGTTTTCCTTCACTGTAATTTAGATATTTTCAAAACAAAGATTCATCGACTACCATTTTCTATTCCTTAAAGGGTTTGTTCAGGTGCCATCCTGCCTCTTTACATACATCAGAGACAGCTATGGCTTCTATTATATGGAAATTCAGACGGATGGTAACTAAATATGCCATGTCAATTTGCCATTTAGTTTCTGAATTTCCTGTTACAACCAGATAAAAAAATGACAAAACATAATTGGATGTGACGTTTGGATCTCGGAAAATCACTTCGGGTACTCTTTTCAATATTTGACCTTAGGTTGCTCCTTGACCTCCTTGGATGATCTTCTACGTTGTTTCCGTTGTTCAAATATTCTTACATACAAAATGATTGTCTAGTTTACACAGGTTAAGCACGTGAACTGAAGACAAACATGATCTAGATATAATGAATTTTACAACTTGAATCTGTCAAATATACCTTAATGGACACATTTTATTGGGGAAAGTTCAAGCAGGGTCAACACAGGTCATCTCCTACCCTATAGTGGTTGTGATGTTCTTTGCATGTTCTGTCACATAAAACATGGCAAAATACATGGATAATTGTCCGGGTCATATATGCGTTGTTCATTTTAATTCATATAAATAATAGCTTATAAAAAAAAATTCATTAGTATTAATGAATCGTTCAGATTATCAAAAGGTAAGAAATTAGCAACTTTCTTTTATTCGGATAAGTTTAATGCAAAACTTTATGAAACAGTTGTAAATTTTCATACGTGTCTCTTAAAATTGTAGAATTTTGAAATATACACTATTTAAATGTTATTAACACAGAACAATGATGTACACAGACAGAATTGTCTTGACGGAAATAGGGTTCACATTAAATTAAATTTTTTTAACTAATGTACGAGGGTTGGCTGAAAAGTTCTGAGTCAAAGTGGAATATCTGAATCGCATTGAAACAATTTTTGCTACAAATAATTACACGCATTTAATAAATCATTGACAACAGAACTGAAACTGGAGTATTATTATAGATTTTGTATGTGTACCAGACCATCTTGTGAACCTCTTGACAGCGGATCAGAAAAGTGTCATGATAATATCATTTCCGCTGTAAATGATCTTCAGAAAACCTTTTCTTGACCTGTATCCAGATCTTGCAACATCGCTGACAAAAATGTGTAAACCTGGAAGGGGACTATGTAAGGAAATAAATCAAAACCATCGACCTGGTAAGAGTCCTTCATAGTCAGCCTTAGAACTTAACAGCCAGCCTTCGAACATTAAGAGGAAGTTATGCTTTTGTCTATATGATAAGAGTTTAAGATAATTGTATAACACGCAAATAATGCAAGCTTATCATTAGGGTCAAACGATTATAATTAAACACATGTCATATTGGTGTATTTTTTATTCATAGATATTTTTATAACACACAAGATTCAACGTGACAGGATATAAACCACTGAAATATCTTTCAATCTAGCTTCACAAACTATTGTTAACTGTGTGTAATACCTTGACTGAAATAGCTACCTTGGTTTGATTGTACGTTAGCAAATACAGCCAATCAGAGTCCTCCACAGAAAGTGTGGCTATTGCAGTCAAGGTATAAAACGAAGTTCGTAATAGTGTAACATTATGAAGATGTGTTCAATCTAGCTTTTAGATTACTGTAAATAAATCGATACGCGAAAAGAAATCGTGATGCGCAATTTAAGTAAAATAAATTCAATACAGGAAAACATCTCACCTAAAAGTTTATCAACCCGTAATACGTAACAAGGTGTTTTCTGTTGTTAAATCTACTTCAATGTGATATCTATTGACATAAAAATAAATATTTGATTAAAACAAATAACTTAGCCATGATATAATATCATTATACATTTAGAACTGGAAAGTGATCTTTTTAATCTTTGATTGTTATATGATCGGAAATAAACAAATACTTTTAATCTACGTCATATAAATTCTAAATGCTATAAATATTAGAATATCAAACATCAAAATATCTGTATTAGACGCGTCTTTGTTTAAAAGAAGACCATTTCCTTTACACTTTGCATCTAGTTACATCTATATTTTGTAATCGAAAGTAAATTTTCATTATATTTTTCAGATGTATACAATATTCAGCACCTTATTATTGTTGATGGTCTTCGGTTCCATTGAACAAAGCAATGGTAAGTTACTATTTTATTCTTAAAGGGATCACACCAATTTGTTCTCTACAAATTGAATCACATTTGGCTATACCAACATGTTTGCAATTGAATAAAACGAAATGCAATGATTTACAGAAATGAAGAACGATGATTGTCATTTCGATTTTACCTTACCTAAACAATTAAAGCAGAAGTTCCAGTAAATGAATTAAATTCAACCAGCATATCTCATATTTAAAAATTGACTGACTATACTTACAACTGCGATCAACTGGTTGACGGCAAAAATCAATTCTGGCTAGAACATGAGCAGCTATAATGTTTTAGAAAATTCGGCGATTTATAAGATTCTCCCAAATGTCGCTAATTGCAAGTAGGCCTAGTCGTTTAAAAAGATCTACTGGAGTCAAATTTGACGGAATAAATACAAATTTTTGATATCTTCACTCGAATCGCCATGGATTCTGTGTGCAATAGAATTCCAGTGACCATCATGACCTATGACCTTGCAACTTATTTTCAGGGCAATATAGAGTAGTGTGTTATTATACAAACTGGTCCCAATATAGATATGGAATGAAATTTTACCCGGAAAATGTAGATCCATCACTTTGCACGCATGTAATCTATGCGTTTGCCAAGTTAAATGGTAATCAACTCGCTCCGTTTGAATGGAATGATGAATCAACAGATTGGAGCAAGGGCATGTAAGTTTGGTCTTCAACTATGAAATTTAGTTTCGAATTCATATTTATTATAGTTTCACAACAGATTGATTGGTTATGTTCACAATTACAGTTTCGGCGTTCTAAAACTGGAGGTACAAACAGGGGACAGATCGTCTAAATTTGGGGACAGGTGTTGAGTCTCCTAATACAGCTCTGTGGGAGCGAATAGGCGCTAGCCTCCTTTGTATCATTCGAGAGGATGTTCCCACAGAATTAATTTTATGCATATTTTGGGACAAAACGTATACAGATTTGATATTTAAATATGTTAGATGTGCAAACCATTTTTCCCTGTACCCCACTGGCACAGCCACTTTATGCCAATGCTGATTTTCGCCATAATTAAATTTTGAAGTTATAAGATCATACCAATGATAAATTTGTGTTTTTCCCGACATCCAGATTGAATACAGATAATAACTCTTATTGATTGTATTATATCGATATTACAGGTACGAACGACTTCAAGCTCTGAAATCTACTAATCCCAATTTAAAGACATTGCTTGCAGTAGGTGGATGGAATATGGCATCTGAACCATTTACATCTATGGTTTCAAGTTCGGCTAACATATCAGAATTTGCATCAACAAGTGTAACGTTCTTAAGAAAGAATGGTTTTGATGGATTAGATTTAGATTGGGAATATCCGGCCAAGCGTGGAAGTCCATCGGCAGATAAATATAGATTTACAAGTTTAGTCAAGGTATTTATTATATAAAATACAAAATATTTTTTTACTGTTATCCGAATGACTATAATACGTTTTTTGTCCCATTACGTGTGCTTCAGAGGGGCATTTTGGTGTATGTTGAATAGCAGATCTAGAAATACACAAGTACATATTGCAATTATCTAAATCGTGGGTAATTGTATATGTACAATCCTTCTTTGATTTTAGACACTGGTAGACACATTTAATGCAGAATCACAGAGTACTGGTAATCCAAGACTATTATTATCAGCAGCGGTTGGGGCTGGGAAAAGCAAAGTCGATGAAGGATATGAAGTAGCTACATTATCACAGTAAGTATACGGAATGAAGATTACAGCAAGAGAGCGTAACTTTTCAACTCGATTTAATATCTGACCAAACAATCGAGCCAGATATGAAATAACAAACCGCGTAGAAGTTTATTTCGTTTTGTTTTTAACCCATGTTTCCAAAATAATTTCTCATGGAAGACATAAATTAAATATGAGCTCTCATGAAGGTCTGATCTTGCAGAACTCAATAGTCAAGCTTTCAAATCCCGTTAATTATTACATACAATGATCATCTCGACGTATCCTTGAAACGTAAATGTTGGAAACCTTACAAACATCTAAATGATGAATGCGAATGTCATCACAATTTGATCCGTAATATGCATTATGAAGGAGAACAGGCGTCTGTCCGTTTGTCCAAAAATACCACAATGGTAGGGGATTGATCAACTACTTTGTGTTAACAATTGTTTTCATTATCAATTGTAGATATTTAGACTTTATTAATTTAATGACCTATGATTTACATGGTAGTTGGGACAGTGTTGTTGGTCACAATAGCCCAATGTTTGCTAGAAGTGGTGAGAACGGTACAGATGTTTATCTCAATATGGTAAATAAAGTATAAAATATTTATATATCATAGAACTATTAGACTGTCGAATATCGGTCGCCTTAAGAGGCCTCTTCGAGCTGGAAGCATCTCTTAATCTGAATTTGACTTCATGAATGATTTTTAGCTTTGTAGCAAAGTCGGTTATTTTGAAAAACTCACAACATCTCCAACCCTGTTAATGAGTTTATACGTTCTCCTGGTGGATATGATCAATAAATACACATTCATGTTGTCCAATTGTGTTAGATCACCTGATAAAAAAATTTCAATTTTGTAGAATTGGGCAGCCAATTATTGGGTACAGAATGGTGCATCAAAAAGCAAACTTAACATTGGTATGCCTTTATATGGTAGAACATTTACTTTAACCGATTCTTCTAATTCTCAACCTGGTGCGCCTACCACTGGTGCTGGAACAGCTGGTACTTATACAAAAGAGAAAGGTTTTCTTGCCTTTTATGAGGTATGCTATATATCATCTGTTACTACAATGCATTCGAATGTAGTTTGACTTAACCCACCACTGGGAGCACTGGCTAAACTACCTTAGGGACTGGTTGAACCATGTCCGCGGGCCTCTCAGAAAAAATATTAACTGGCATCAAATTTACCTACTCAAGGATCTCAGAACGCAGAAAAGAGTATATGTTTAAAAAAAAAACATTCCACAGGAGAGGGGGCCCAACCTATTTCATTCTTTTTCACATAAAAGTAGTGATATAATATTAATACCAATTGATCTTTTAGATTTGTAAAATGAGTAAAACAGTATATTCTATACCAGAACAAAAAGTCAAATATGCTGTTAGTGGAAATCAATGGATTGGCTTTGATGATCAAGATACATTAAAAGAAAAGGTATATACATCTCATCAGTGTTAATTCTAAATCATATTTCAGTTTATTTCTCTAAACCCCTGATTTCCAATCTGAGTTTTTTCATCCCCTAGGGGTGGGACTGGGATGTTGTAGAAGATGAATTTATCTTTGATGTTTTGAATATTCATTGCTTTTTGGGGTGTGATGATGATTGCTCTGGTGTGTTATGGCTGGAAACCACTCCTCTAAACTTTCCTGTAACTTTTAGTCACTTACTTGCAACATTCAAAACAGTGTGAGGAGCAATTTTAGCCTAGCTTACAATAGCGAAAGCCCTTTTATACGTTATCTCTTCCAACAGGCCAAAATGAATATGGCTAATTATGCGTTCTACAGAAGTCATAAAACTCCATATGCTTTTAACTTTAAGTTTCAAATGTATATAAGATCAATCATATTTAAAGGTATGTTATGTGAAATCCAATAATTATGGCGGTGTTATGGTATGGGCATTAGATTTAGATGATTTTAGTGGACAGTGTTCTAGTGGTGTAAAATATCCCCTACTTCATACCATTAATAATGAATTATCAAGTTCATCATCATGCTCATCAAATTCCTAGTAAGTATGAGTAATATATATATATAGTATAATTTTGAAAGGACAGGTTCGCCATTCGTTTGACCAATCGTACCTTAGTCTCAGAAACGGGTATTTTCTTAGTTAAGCTAATTAGTAATAGTGTTCACAGCTCACCGACATTTGAGCCTTCAAATCCAGGATTATCTGCGTTTGAATGTGAAATTGACGACCCATCTTATTTTTACGCTCTGCCACATATGAAAGAGAAATATATAGGACTAGACAGTGAAATTTCTAATTTGAGGTAAATATAAATGGATTCTGCGATTTAAGGCGAACCGTGGCCTTTTTTGCATGTTCTATGCTGGCGATTTATACGATACCTACGGAAAAAAAACAAACTAATCCGTGTTATTGGCATACCTGTAATTTTGCTGCAAATATGATTATGATCACGTAAATCTATTTTTTCATGAATAGATTTGCTGATCATAGATTGTATATTAATGTCTGTGGTAGAGCCACATATTTCAATTGGAATATGTTTAACGTACAAAATCTTTTTCAGTTTTCAGTAAATTTAATGAGTAAAACGTATCTTATCTGATTGTTTTTATCCTTCTTTAAATTTAATATGTTTATATAGAATTACAATTACGTAGGTCTTAGTATTACTCTCCCGTAATGGACCCTCGAGATATAAATATTTGCCTTATTCCATCATAGTCTCTCGATTTTCTAATGTTTTCTGCCAATCATCCACTACCACTCTTACTTATTTGACTTGTAAACGAAGTTACGTTAATTGTAACAAAAATTTTTAATTCAAATAAACCTAAGTATATTTTTCAGAAATCTCCAACATAAGATTGAAAACAAAATGAATTCAGAAGCGTATCGGTATTGCAGAAATGACCAATAACTTGTTCTTGAAAATTTAATTGTCATTTTAGCTTCTTTGATTAAGTTAATTGTATTTTCTCTAGCAAGTACGAAACCTTGACGACATCCCTTATATTCTTTATTCGCGTTTTTCGTAATCTCTATGACTCAACAAATCGTTTTGCTCTACTTTTGTGATTAAGACTAATCTAAATATAAATGAATGGTTTTCGTACTTATGTACTTAGGTGATCAAAAGGTGCATGAAACCCAACTAACTTACTTGTATAAGAATACTAACAATTGAGACATCTATCTATACTGCGTGCCTCGCATCTTTAAATAGTTAACCAATACTTATTTACACTGTAAAATGTTTTAAATATTTTAGTGTACAATCATCATTATCTAACAACAATATAGTCACCACTCCTCGACCGGTGTACAGCAGTCCTCCACCTCAACAACAAACACAACCAACTATCTATATACAACCATACCAGTCCCAAAACCCGTACCAATCTTACCCTCCTTATAAAACTCCTTACAATTCACACCCAGTATACCAAACACAACCAACTCAATCTTGGCAGTCAAAATTACCTCCTTTTCTCAGTGAGTAGACTCTTTTATATCTTACGCAATCAAACCAAATATCACCAACGATTGTCTCCAAAGCAAACGAGAATGGATCGTTCAGATATCAATGTATCCAGTTAGCTGTCCCCGAACAGTAAGAAATTCCTAAGAGGGTTTTTATGTTTGAATCAATGCTCTTCAGGAATATCCAGACCCAAGTTCGTGCCTAGATATCTATGTGGTAGATACAAATCTTTATGCAGATTGCAACTAACTTACAAATCTTATGATCAAACTAGAAAATAGACTGGATCAGACAATGTGGAAACTATATGTAATTGGTCAAATTATATATGAAATTTTTTTAATTTCCTCCGTCTCATTTTAGGTAATTTCTTTACTAACCAAGTAACAAGACAAAGATTCTCCTGTTTTGGAAAACGAAATGATTTTTACCCTAATCCTTTCGACTGTTCATCTTATTACATATGTTCCAACTCTGTACAGTATCCAGTGTCGTGTACTCAAGGTCTATATTACAATGCTTATCAGAAATATTGTGACCATCCAGCTAATGTGAATTGTCAGAATGGTGCTCCGGCACCAGTAGCAGTAACTACAACTACCCGAACTCCTACAACCCGATTCCCTTATTCATTGCCCTTCCAGTCTTCTAATTATCAGACTAGAAATATACAAAGTAATATCGCAGCTACGACATCCGGTAAGTATGATTTACTCCGTAAACTATGTATAAACTAAGAAATAAGTTTGGTAGCTCAATGAAAATGACCACTGATATTGATGCATATTGTACATGCAGTTGCTGCAATCTTTCAAAATTGTATGAGTATGTAATATTGTTTTCTAAAAGCCATCGAAAAACAGGGTTCATTTATATATTATATATTGAATTTTGCTCCTTGACATCTTCCATTTCAACCAGTTCATTTTGTGTTTACAGAGGCTCTTCAATATCATAAATGAAAGCTTCAACTGGGCGTGTCAACTCCGTGTCTCAGTTCCGTTCATAAAGCTAAAAACTTTTTTCTGGGTAAAAATATCACTTATATGTCTTATTTCAGCACCGGTAAACTTGTGTAGTGGTAAAACTGATGGTTATTTCGCTGATCCTGTAAACTGTTCTATGTTCTATAGATGTGACAACTCTAAATCATGGCACATGTCCTGTCCACCCTCAACAGTATTTAATGATGTCAAGTCGTACTGTGATCATGTATATAATGTACCAAGATGTCAATAAGATACAGTATTAGTATATGAATGATTGAAATCCCCCGGTTAAAGGATATACGTTATATATGTTATTTTCAAATAAAGAGTTTTAATGGTTTAGAATGTGTGTTTTATGCAACAAATAAGGGTATTCTTGTTCCCCTTTCCTCCGAAATTTAATAATAATTTGTGCCACAAACAAATCTTAAGCCAGTGTACGACACATAAACATTAGGCTACTATTATTATAAGTGTTTACTTTGTTACCTAGGCAAGTGATCATTATATAGTCACTGATCTGACAAATGCCAGGGTTCGGCAATCTGTTCTGGAGTTGTGACAACGCAATATCATCGAGAAGTTTGTTATCAAAAGAGTTGTAATATCTCAATGAACGCAATACAAGCGCACTACGCGGGTGGCAAAGAATATAACAACTGTTACATTTGGAACGGCGACTTCATACCGTACCGTCTTTACCTCGACCCCTTTCAAAATTATATCATAGTGAAAGAATTGCTTGTGGTTCCCCTGGGAAATTTTATGGCCCTTGCTCGGCACTCTCACCGTATTTTTCCTAGAATAGCCACTGGTAATCTTTTTAAGTGTCGAATGTATATTTACCTACGTACATCTATACATAGAGAAAATTCTGATAAAAAATATTAAGTCGGCCTAAAATAAAGTCTTGAAAGATAAGATAGGAAATTGGAACACCAAATTTATATTACACACAACCCGTTACAGTCTTCAGATTAGAAAAAACAGTAGGTGAGTCTCATCACAATCTTGTTTTCTTGGCTGCTCGCTTTATATATTCTGGAGCTTGCAAACGACATTGTCCTTACTATTTCTCTATTCTGTTACTGATTCTGTGCATATAGCTTTGCAAGTTGTATATATTTTGGAGCTCGCGAAGGGCATAATCTAAAATACTTCTCAATTGCATGTAGATTTCATTTTAGCAAGTTGAATATATTTAATGTTTGCATAAATGGAAATGGAACAAGAAACATATTTTGTTTAAAGAATATATATTTTTTTTCAGACAATGAGAATAATCATTGTGGCTGTTGTTCTGTGCCTGGCGGCCATTTACCAGGCTGAAGGTAAACTAATAATTCTATGTAATTAAACAAAGTTATTTGTCCCACTCTGGTGGACATTATGATAATGATATAACTTTTTCAAACAAATATAATATTGAAGGTCACACCTCTTCGTGCTGAAAAAAAAATAACAAGGATAGAAACTTGACTAGAACAACGAACATTTTTTATTAGCATTTCAAGTGAAACTCTGAAAATATGGCTCAAACATGTCAAAGGTCAATGAAGTAATTTTGATTTGTTAAGGTGCCGGATGCAAACGTCGTGTTTGTTACCATACAAACTGGTCTCAATATCGACCTGGTCTAGGCAAGTTCAAACCACGAAACATAGATGCTAGTCTATGTTCCCACATCATTTATGCTTTTGCTAAAATGGTTGGGAACAATCTGAAAGCATTTGAATGGAATGACGAATCAACTGATTGGATGGTTGGACTGTAAGTACATACTATTGTTCTTAGTTAATTATATGGATACTGGGATGACGATGGGACGGTGTCAAATATAGATGCAACAGATGGAACAGTCTCTCAAACAGTGAGATCATATAGTACTATAAGAATATATTCTACATCTGTTGTAGCTTAAAACTATCCAGGATGAGTATCTGACAGTAAGAGTCACCGGTCTATGGTCATAAATTAGATTATACAAAAGATAATAGGATAAACATATACGAAAAATTTTTTTTAAAGGGATTGTACACTTTTTATGTGTATCGGGGTCACTAATAGCATCAAATTGCTCCCTTCGAATTTTTATTCCGATGTCTGTGGTTCTTGCAATAGCACTAAAGCGTTTCATGACGTCAGTGGAGGGGAGCTCCTGGAAGCTACTATTAATATCTATGCAGTTCCCCTCTGGTGACGTTTGTTTCAGTGGAATTGCAAGAACCACAGACGTCGGAATGAAAATTGGAATGGTACAAATTGATGCTTTCAGTGTCCCCTATACACATAAACAGTTTAGAAAATCAATTTTCCTTTATTGTGAAGGTATGCTGAATTTACCAGTTTAAAGAAATCGCATCCTGGACTGAAGACAATGTTAGCTGTTGGTGGATGGAATATGGGTTCTGCATCATTCACCGCAATGGTATCATCAAGTGCAAATAGACAAGCTTTTGCTAAATCAACCGTGCAATTTTTAAGGAAGAGAAATTTTGATGGTTTAGATTTAGATTGGGAATATCCTGCTAATCGTGGAAGTCCTCCCCAAGACAAATCTCATTTTACAGAATTAGTTCAGGTAAAAGAGTAACGAATACATAATGGCTATGTGAACACTTTGCCAGGGGTGCCAACGTATTTGCAGAATCAATTGCTCTAATTCTTTCAAGGCGCCTTTACACGTTTTACCTCAAACCAATATAGTCTACATGGACAGATTACAATAGCTTAATGATTTTTGTTGTAGACCTTACAAGCTGCCTTTGCTGCTGATGCTCAATCATCTGGTAAACCTAAATTGATATTATCAGCTGCTGTAGCTGCTGGAAAACCCAATATTGATACAGCTTATGATGTACCCGCAATTTCAAAGTAAATTTTCTTTGTCTTCATACATAAATTGTATTATAATGAACCTTTCCATGTCCAAATATTTTTGGTGAAATAAGAATGTTAAGACCTTTCTAAAAATGAGATTTGTGTTAAATGCTCTTTACAATCATCGTAAAACAAAAGTAACAAATATAATTGGAATGTAGCATCGCTTGGTAATTTCATTTAAATCGCAAAATCCATGATAAACATGTTTCTATATCCAAAATCCTTACTTCATTTTAGACAACTTGACTTTATTAATTTGATGACGTATGATTTACATGGAAGTTGGGAAACTTTTACTGGTCATAACGCACCATTATATCCTCGTTCTGATGAAACTGGAGACCAAAAAAATCTGAATGTGGTATGTTTACTGTCAACTTGTCAATGCTCTGTCCAATAATTACTTGTTTCAGACAGTCTGTCTCATTTTAACCAGTATCGTATCAAATCAAAGTATTCGTCCATTTTGATCGCTAGAAATCAGCTGATTGTAATGTAAATAGAAATTTCAATAGTAAAATTGTTCTGAAATGATATATCATTTCTTTGAAAGCTTTTTGAAAATAATCTGTTTGACATGACTTAAGAATATTGATTTTGTTTAGGATTGGGCAGCTAACTACTGGGTACAGAAAGGAGCACCTAAAAATAAACTCAATATTGGTATAGATCTATACGGTCGTGCGTTTACTTTGAAAAATGCTGCTAACAATAAACCAGGAGATGCCACAACAGGACCTGGTCAAGCTGGACAATTTACCAGAGAAAAGGGATTTTTGAGCTACTATGAGGTGAATATTTAATAATATTACATTCTATTGGATTTGCTTCGGAAGATTAATGAAAATACATTTTCATGTTCACTGCTATCACGATGTGCATACATTCTCGACAGATTGATCATACTGTTCTATCTACTGTTGGTAGAAAAGATGCTTGCCTGGTTTTGCACCCCATCCCCACTTTCACATTTTTTAATCATTTTACACAGTGAAAGAATGGCCTGGGGCTTACATGGAAATTGTGTAGCCCCTACTCGCCCCCTTCACCTTGTGTTTTCTAGAAACGTGACTGTCTGTTGGCTAGTTGGATTATAAAGTTTTGAATAAACATGCTTAAAATACTGTGGTTTGAGTAATCGAACCCACCTAATTCTATAAAAGGATATGGAGGAATTTTATAAATATTTCAATTATTTTGTACGCAATCTGATGAAACAAACTATAGCTTTTGGCATATTTCTCAACATAAAATGATACTCTGCATCAGGGTATCAAGCAAGTGTTGAAGTTGAAAATAAATGACTGATAAATTGTCTTTTTTGTTTGTAGATCTGTGCATTACAAAAATCAGGTGGTCAAGTTCACATGATACAAGAACAACAAGTACCATATATTGTGAAAGGCAATCAATGGATCGGGTATGATGATCCTACAAGCATTAAAAATAAGGTATTTTCTTCGAACAAATTTATTTTTGAACATATAAAATGCAGTTTGAGGTTTCTTTTTATAATAGTGCTTCATTCTGTTAGCCAGTCACTGTCACAAATATGATTCGTTTGGTTGATCCTGCAGGACTCACGTCAGTTAAAACTCATGTAAGCTGTTTAGCTAAGTTTAGCTTTTTGGTGCAATACAATGCGTATTATGCATGTTGCCTAATGATATTTTCATAACTGAAATATTGGTCTGTAAGTACTTGGAACGACGTTGAAGAAGCGCGAGACAGACTATATGATGTTTATAATAATTCTTATTAAATTGTCAATAAATTTCTTTGTTTCGAGATTGCCTATGTAAAAGATAAAGGTTTCGGTGGTATTATGGTTTGGGCTTTAGATTTAGATGATTTCCAAGGAACATGCGGACAAGGCAAATACCCATTGATGCAGGCCATCAATCAAGAATGTGGTTCATCCTCTACTGGGCATCAGTAAGCATTTAATACTTCTTACTTTAGAATATGTGTCTGTATTCTTTGTAAATATTATAAAATTGACAATATTGACAAGGTTTCATTTTGGCACTTTATTAAGAGCATTGGCATAAAAATAATGGCTAAAAGCACTAATAATAATGAAAAACTATTAAATATGGGCTTATACATTGATAAAAATAATGAATGTTTAAATAATAACTTATTTCAGTATTCCACCCCATTTAACACACACAAATCGACCAAATACAGGGCATGTTACTAAAGCCCCAGGTAACTTCTCTCGTTATTCCAAACTTTTCTATATGCGAAAATCTGCAAACCACTATCAAATTCAAGTATTGTGATTTCTAATAGAAGGTCCATCGCATCTTGGTAGTAAAATTCACAGTCAAAACCGAATTACGTTTGTGAACATTCTAGTACGATTAAAAGATGTATTCCAAAGACTATGCCAATAACAACAGAGCGTATTCTCAAAGGCATTCTTTCGACGATTGTTGAAATGTTTGGGTACTTTGAGTAATGTAATCTTTGATTTTCTTCTTGCTAGGAGGAGACCATCATGTTGTAGTAAATAAAGAATTTTCGTGTTCTGGTAAAGCTGATGGTTTTTATGCTAGTCCTTTTTCCTGTGACCAATATTATATCTGTACTGCTGGTACTAGTTATAGGTAATAGTTATTTTCAATTGTCCATCCAGATCATTCTTCTCTAATTCATATTGCAAACTTAAAATTTCCATTGGTATTGATACCCATATTTCAATTAACACATTCACAGTTCCGTTTCCACGCTAATGCATAATTTCTATGCATATATGAGATAGCTATTTAGAAGTAACTACAACTGGAATATGGAATGTAGACTGTTATTCTATTGCCATGGAAATAAAGAAATTATTTTCAAATTTTTCTTACAAAGCTGTATTGAAATAAAATGAATTTAAATTTTGCCTCTGCTTTTCTAAAGCTTTTGAAGACATGGATTTTAACTAATTCCAATGATGTGTTATGTCACTGTGTTTCATTACAGAGTTCACTGTGCTGATGGTTTGGTGTATAATCCTAACACAAGAATGTGTGATTGGCCAAAGAATTACCAATGTACATTATCTGGAAATCATGTAACTAACGCACCAGTGACTCAACGACCTGTCACTCAAAAACCTTACAAACCAGCAACACATTCGACTGTTTTATTGAGTAAGTGGTAAATGCTAATGTAATGAAATTGAATTTAAAGTCCTATTCTACTCTACTTTATTTTGATGGTTTAATATTGCGGCAGTCAAGATATTAAGAACGTACATATGTATGTAGCAAAAGCAGCTTCGGTTTTTCTGTCCCATTTCATTAGGTATATTTCGACTATAATGAACCCCTGATCACCTCAGATCAAAACCAACTTAAGTATGTACAAACTTGTTGCATCATTTTTGTGTGGCTATACTAAAAATATAAACTATTAAAAAAACGAAAGTTGGGTCTTAGACTGACTTTTACAGTAGCCTTTTTCACGTAAAATATCTTTTATTTCAGATGAGTCTAATTTCTGTAAAGATAAACCTGATGGAATAATGAAAGATCCTATGGACCCTTGCAACGCTTTCTTTGATTGCTCCAATGGTATCACTTATAAAATTCAGTGTCCACCAGGTACCAAGTTCAGAGAATCAATATCTAATTGTGATATACCAAGCCATGTTCCTAATTGTTAAAAGTTTTTTAACATGATGATATAAAGATATTATACTGTTCTTTTCGTATTATTCATACCTTGCCGTGAACGCTGAAATGAGTGGGTATTTTGCTACGAATATCAGAGATTTTCTCAGAAAGACTTGCATCGTATCTTTACCAGACAAAACTTTTAACTTGACATCGCATATATGAAACATTTTATCATAATGGTTGTACCTGATGGTTCACTACTATACAACTTTTATTCCCGATTTTGCTATTCTTTGGACTTTGGATTTTTGATCAACGGAATTTTCTTGCCTACGGCTTTTTATTAAGTATATTTCACTGTCATTACACTGTGGATGGCCCGTATTGGGAACATCAAAATGGGGGAAATAGACAATCGATGAGGATTTATATGGAAAGCATGTCATCTATCTCTCAACAGAATGGTCAAAGTGGACTTACAAAGGTTACTGGGTATGAATGTTGAAGATATTGTCTAGCTATGTCATAATGAGTCAGAACAACCTTTTAATGTCTAGTCTCTATAGTTATATCATAGCGGTAAAACAGGTTAATTTGTTTTATATCAGAAAACTGTTGGACGGATCATTCAGATCACGACAATGGCGACCTTTTAATTGAATGAAGATATAAACCTTTTTTTCTATAGGATCTTAGTAATAAAGGAGGCTTAATGTTTTTCCCGTTTTTGTTAAATAAGATAAAAGTATGTAGGGATTAGGAAACGGCCATCTCTTTATTCCCTTCGCCTTTAAGAGGTGAAGGAAGTTCGAACTGGCTGTCCTTTCTGTAACTACCAACAACGATGAAGGGCCATGTGTTGTTGATATTATTATTATCCTTATTACTGGCTTTATATAATTCAGGTAGGAGTTTTGAATATTAATTTTTGCTTAAGAAAATAGGTAAGATAAGGTAATTAATTGTGTCCAGGTTTTATCTTGAATGACCAAATTGAGCTTTTAGATTCCATTTCTATAAAGCTTTTATAAATTTGACCTAGAGATTGCAAATTGAATTTCTACTGAGTGATCTGGGTTTTCTTTTTGTTTGATGGCACTCAAAACTTTCAAATTGAAAAAGAAAATCAACCCAAATCAGTAGCTGCTATTTAGCTGATCTTATTTGCATTGCTGCACCGTAAAAAATCACACGTCTTATGGTTGATTCTGAAAGAATTTATAAATTAAATGGTGATTAACATTATATCATTTTTGTTTAAGTTAACGGAGCTAAATACAATGTAGTGTGCTATTATGCTAACTGGTCGCAATATAGACCAGATGGTGGGAAGTTCTTCCCTGAAGACATCAATCCTAAAAGTTGTACCCACATCATATACGCCTTTGCTAAATTATCTGGAAATCGACTAGCACCTACTGAATGGAATGATGACCTATTCCAGTATCCTAGAGGATTGTAAGTAGACACATTCAGTCCTTGGTTTATTCATATACACGTGTGTCCAGTATTATCCGCGTTTGGAAGTTAAAAATACGAGTCGTATTTTATAGAAAAGACATCTGTAGAAATAGGAAACGAAATGATTAGTTTGACATATTTTTAAAGGAATTATGCAATTTTCGTACATGTCTAGTACTTGTAAAGACCATTTACATAATATACCATTTACATAATATGCAAGACTCAAATCAACTGCCCAAATGGCACATCTGTTCCTTTAATAGTCAATGTATATTTATTGTAGTTCAGTACTCGTCCAAAATGATTTTAAGCGAAAATGTATCAATATGATTTTAGATATCTAAGAGTTATGGATCTCAAGAAGTCAAATCCTGATCTGAAAGTTCTTCTTGCACTCGGCGGTTGGACCATGCCTGTAAGAGATTTCTCAGCAATGGTTTCAACATGGGGAAATAGACAAGAATTTATTCGTAATGCTATTGAATATTTGAGAAGATTTGGTTTTGACGGATTAGATTTAGATTGGGAATATCCTGGCAGTAGAGGAAGTCCGGCCATCGATAAGAAAAGATTTACATATTTAGTTTGGGTAAGTCTATAAGTATATTTTTTTCCAGTTGTTTATGAAATGTAGTGAAAATTTCTATGGCTAAGAACTTTTAATATGTGATCGGATAATTTCATCATGCGTTACCATGTTTCTATCATGTAGGAAATCAGAGATGCCTTTGAGAAAGAAGCTGTGCAGACTGGTAAAGAGAGGATGTTGATTACCGCTGCCGTACCAGCTAGCAAGAGTACCATTGAAAAAGGTTATGAAATTCCAGCTTTAGGAAAGTAAGTCCTCTAATAGTTTGGCTAATCCTTTTAATCCAGAGTTGTCATACATGTATCATAATTATGGGAATTTTAAATCATGTTGTTTGAGAACCAACAAAAAAGAGTATAACAGCAAATCAATCAACACTCAGTTACTTGTACGGCATATTAGAAAAGAAAATTTGAATCTACAAGCATAAATTGACAACTCTCTGATACAAACCAAATCAATGATTATTTAAATCTATCATAGAAAATTGGATATGATAAACCTGATGTCGTATGATCTACATGGTGGATGGGATAAAGTAACAGGACATAATGCACCACTGTTTGCTTATCCTGGTGATCCTACACCTACTCTTAATGTTGTAAGTTTCTAAATTATACTATATTGTATTATCAACAATGCAGCTTCTATTGTAACTCAGTGTGTTTATATCAACATGAATTTTGGAAAAAAAGGATTAAAACCTGAGATTTTCTTTAAAGTGTTTCAAACTAAGAAGGTTGTATCTATTTTAGGCTTACGCTGCACAATACTGGGCTAGTCAGGGAGCACCTAAGGAGAAAATCCATGTTGGTATGCCAATGTATGGAAGAAGTTATACATTAGCTAATAGATATAACACTGGATTAGGTGCTCCTGTTACTGGGCCTGGTAGAAAGGAACCTTTCTCAGGAGAAGCTGGTATAATTTTATATTATGAGGTAAAACTTGTATATACTTTGGAATCCCCAATGCCTTCTTATAATATGCACATTCTAAGCATGTTGAGCCACAGTCAGTTTGTGAGATTTGAAGAGAGTTGCTAAAATGTTGAACGGAGGAATACATTTTGCATTTACCCAGTTATTTTTGCTTTCACATTAGCATCTACAATTTCAAATTTGTTTTGCACCCAGAAGGATATATTTTGATCCTTTGATATATAACGGACATAGCTGGCGAATTCATACAGTTTAAAGATTTTGTACAAAAGGTGTCCGTCATTGAGAACGGTCTATGTGGATGAACATTTTTACTTTTTGTTCTTTTCAGATCTGCAATACAGTACTAAACAGATACCAAACTATACAAGATGATAATATGAAAGTACCATACGCTGTTTCTGGAGACCAATGGGTTGGATATGATGATAAAAGAGCTATACAATCTAAGGTATAAATAAACAAAAAAATGTAACAATTTGAAGAACAAGTCTTATAGTTTTGTGTTCGGTGTCATAAACCTGCTGGAACTGTATCATATGGGACTTGGTATGATTCTGCCACACATGCACTTCATGTATTATCTATATATGTATCATTTTGTATCGATCAAGTCGACAGCAAAATTGCCATCAAATTCTTAAATCGAGACTGTATAGTTGAGTAATTTTGTTTAAAGTTAGATTGGTTGTTGCAAGAAGGATATGGAGGTGGTATGATATGGGCCATAGATTTAGATGATTTTTCTGGTTCATTCTGTGGACGTCCATATCCATTACTATCAGTTCTAACGGATTGTTTATTGTATGGAAAAGGGTAAGACAATCATAAATATTAGAGCGTCAAAATATAGTACAGTAATTATTGAAATAATCTGACCGAGCATTATTCTTACCTTATGATCAGATAGAAAGCTACGACAATGTGACAAAATTTACTATTACATTTAGCCTTTGATATTTGTCAATCAGGGGTCTTATTCTCGATAACCTCTTTTAGTATTCAAGTTATCTGATTATTATCCATTTAGATTACTGTATTTCTTAAATCTGGAATTTACCTTACTTAAGATTTTTGAGAATAAGGCCCCTACTAATAATAAATACTTGTATTGTAGTTCCAACACATGTCGAGAGAAGGTACTTCCAGGATCCGTAGTACCACAACCAACGACACAAAAACCATGGATACCACAACCAGCAACAACACCTGAACCATACAACCCTCCTTATAAACCACCTAGTGGTAATACTTATATATAAACTACACTACTTCTTATATTGTGTCAAAATTAAAATCCAATCCGTTACCATAATCCTTCTCAGCCTAATTAATCTGTTGAAGGGAAGGGATCAAATCAGTTTTACTGTAACTTGTGGAAAGGTTAAACCATCTTCGTATGTTAGTTGCATATAAAGAGAATTTTTTTGTCATAAAGCTGTGTTCTATTATCAAAATACCACAACAAAGCAGCTTCTTTTGTGTAGCATTCAGTAGAGTCTACTCCATTCTTTTTGTATGATTGACCTTACCTATTTTATAATGCAAACCATGAACGAACATTCTCTTTGCAAATAGTATTGCTACACATGTCCACACCTATTAAAAACGTCTGATAAAGGAAAAGGATTATTTGTAAATGCTATGGTAACATGTCGAGTATGGAACAGGATTAAGTCTCATGCCTCCGTCTTTCTTATAAATAGATATCAAGACGTATTCTGTTACCCTTAATTTTAGTATTATCTCAAAATGGAGGGTCATTATATATTTCTCACTGTATTAGTGTTTCTGTCTGTGTTTAATACAGGTAAGATAATTTGGCGCTTGTCATAAGGATATTTTTCGTTAAAGGGATTATAAAGAGGTTTTCTAAACTTTTTATGTGTATTGGGGACATTGATCAATTTGCACCATTCAAATTTTCAGTCCGGCGTCTTTGGTTCCTGCAATTACTCTATAACTAAGAGTTTGATGACGATCTGCTTTTATCATCATATAGAAAAGCAGGAACCACGAACGTCAGTCTGAAAGTTCTATTATTCTTATTATGAGACCCTTATCATGACGTCATAAAACGATAAGTTTTAGTGGAATTACCGGAACCTCCGACACCAGTTTGAAAATTGGAATGATGCAAATCGATGCTAACAGTGTCTGGCCAGTCTCTCAAAACACGATTTACCTTAATTAACATTAACTGTATTCCAATTTGTAGAATAGAACGGATTGTCAAAAACAGTTGATCGGGTTTGAACTAGAAAAAAGTCAATAATCAATGACTTTATTGTTGAATTTTTTTTGCCACACCAATGATTTCTTTTTGTATTTCAGTTACCACTACCAAACGCAATGTTGTGTGTTATTTTGCCAACTGGGCCCAATACCGACCAGCGGGTGGCAAATTTTTACCTGAAGATATCAATCCTAAGATCTGTACTCACATCATATACGCCTTTGCTAAATTATCTGGTAATCGACTAGCCCCTACTGAATGGAATGATGACTTGATTGAATATCCAAGAGGACTGTAAGTATTTTGACTTTAATGATTTGTTTGATTGGAAGACGATAAATGGGACAGATTCAACATCCGTTTGACAAATCGTAACTTAGTCTCAGAAATGGTTATTCAGTAATGTAAATTATAGAAAGGACATAATATAGAAATAGAAAGTGAAACATCTAGTTTTTTGTCTATTGGAAGAGATGATGCTATTTTCGTGCAGTTTGTGTACCTCTGAAGACTATTAACATATATTCAATACCCAATTCAACCCCCGAAAATCCAAGATCCAAGCCCGTTTACCATTTGATACACTGCCTTTGATAGAAGTGTTTTTCTAACATTAGACCCATACCACTGACAAATTTCAGCAATTGCACCTTGGACGTTACATAAAATGATTGCATTCATCTGTATGATTTACAGGTACCTCCGAGTTTTGGATCTGAAGAAATCAAATCCTGATCTGAAAGTAATTCTTGCTGTAGGAGGTTGGACTATGGGTGTCAAAGATTTTTCAGTCATGGCCTCTACAGCTGGAAATCGACAAGAATTTATTGCCAATGCTATTGAATATTTGAGAAGATTTGGTTTTGACGGATTAGATTTAGATTGGGAATATCCTGGAAGTAGAGGAAGTCCAGCTATCGATAAGAAAAGATTTACATATTTGTGTCGGGTGAGTATCATCTGTTTCCAACAAAGTAAGTTATACCATCTTCCGTCCAGGTATTACTTTGTCTTATACCTCGATTACAATAGCCACTGTTTTTGTATGTATCATGGAATGCAGCGATTAGATTTGATAAGATTGTAAATATATTGGATTATATTGGATATCTCTGATTGGCTGTGTTCACTAGCATGTAATCCAATCAAATCACTGTATTTACAAACCGAAAAGTGGCTATTGTAGTCAAGGTCTTAAATTCGTATTAGATTGACATTGTGAAGAGTGTCAAACTATTCAAATTTGAATCTCATATTATTAGACATGATATATTTTCAATGCAGGAAATTCGACAAGGGTTCGAGAAAGAAGCCCAACAAACGGGAAAAGAAAGATTGTTGATAACCGCTGCAGTACCAGCTAGTAAATCAACTATCGATATTGGTTATGAAGTTGCAGCTATCGGCAAGTATGTAAATTAGAAGAATGTCAAGTTGGTAGCAATAACCAAAAGATCGAGTTATACATTGATACCGTTTTCTAAAAAAAAACTGTCTGTTACTATGGTTTATGTTTGATATAACGAACATTCGGGGACTATAACTTACCGGTGACATAAGCTTCGGTTTCCGTATGTACGACTTCATGAAATGAAGTATGAAGACCATGCTTAAGATTATTCAGTCTTCATTATAATTGATAGGAGTTTGGATATGATAAACCTGATGTCGTATGATCTACATGGTGGATGGGATAAAGTAACAGGACATAATGCTCCACTGTTTGCTTATCCTGGTGATCCTACACCTACTCTTAATGTTGTAAGTAATTCAACTATTATCTTTGGTGCATGGCCCTTTAATATTCAAAACAACATTCTAGATAAATATTTATGAATAAATTATAGATTATTTATACATAGTATGGATTTGTTTGTAGGCATATGCAGCAAATTATTGGGCTGAACAAGGTGCTCCAAAAGAAAAAATCCAAGTGGGCATTCCAATGTATGGAAGAAGTTATACATTAGCTAATAGATATAACACTGGATTAGGTGCTCCAGTTACTGGGCCTGGTAAAAAAGAACGTTATTCTGGTGAAGCTGGAATTATTTTGTCATATGAGGTAGGTCTTGAGCTGAAAAGCTGATCATAAGCAAATCCATGTTGTCGAAAAACGCAATGTCATATATGAATATGGGTTATGATTCCAAAGTTGTTGAATTATGAATTCAATGGATGTCAATCGTGTTTTGTCATTGTCGAAAAAAGGCAGAATTAAAACCAGTTTTTATACTTTAATGAACTTTAAAAAGAGGGTAATATGCGAAAAAATAACAATAAATAAATACCAATTTTAATGCTAAGCTTTTGCCTTTTCTGTTGTTTTAGATCTGTGAAACTCTCCTTAATAAATACCAGACCATACAAGATGATAATATAAAAGTACCATACGCCGTTTCTGGAGACCAATGGGTTGGATATGATGATAAAAAGGCAGTAGCCACAAAGGTATAGTCGCTTATATTCCGCATTGCCTTAAACGTAGATAGAAATGTAAATGTGTTCAAAACAAAGCACATGTATATACTTTCGTCCTTTTAGAAATCCAGTGCATGGGTTTTAAATTGAAATACTACGATTACTTATATATTTGTTAGCTGGTGTCCGTCGCCAAGTTTTTTTTCGTTGAATCTTTCGTATCACTGAAAATGTCTGTGTACTAGTTAGTTTGACAAAGTATGCTAGTTTGGTTGAATAGGTATTTATGTTTTTAAACGTTTTGATATTTCAGTTAGATTGGCTTCTGGAACAAGGCTATGGAGGTGGTATGATATGGGCAATAGATTATGACGACTTCACTGGTTCTTTTTGTGGTAATCCCTATCCACTTCTCTCTATTATCAGTGAATGTTTGATAAACGGCAAAGGGTAAGAATTTAATATAAATTTAAATAACGAGAGAGCTAGCGTTGCGGTACAAATATTAATCAAATTTATGAATATAGAATCAATGGCGTTCTTTACTTTAAGGCCATTTTCAGTCGTGTTTGCAAACACATTTGGCGTCTTCGAATTTGTAAGAGTGTAGCCACAGAAATATTAGTGAATGTTTGTGATTGAGATGAAATTTGGTTGTATATTGAACTGGTTTTCTACAAATGAAATCGATCGATAATATTTAATATTGCATATTCATTTTAATAGTTCAAGGATGTGTAGAGAAAAGTTTGGCTCACAAACAAATGTACAACCAACACAGAAACCATGGGTACAACCAACAACCACAACCGTAAAACCATGGTGGTGGAGACCGACTACAACCAGAAAACCGTGGATACCACCTACAACCACAACTGTGAAGCCATGGTGGTGGAAACCTACTACAACCAGAAAACCCTGGGTACCACCTACAACCACAACAGTGCGCCCATGGTGGTGGTATCCTACAACAACGAAAAGACCATCATCAGGATGTAAGTTGTGAGCCATAGTCAATATGAGTCGATTCTCTTATTCAGTGTGTTTATTTACTTTGTTCATAAGGCTGGAATCAAATTTTTGGAAAGTTAATGCCCATAGCCGTAGAATTGGGTATCCGAAACACGCGTCAGCAGCATGGGATGAGCTTTAGTCAGTTATTCAATAACTCTCTTTCGCTAGTAGTAAAACCAATAAAGAAAAGAGCCGAGAAAAGCACATAACTAAGAAATGCATACTTTCCTTAACTTCCAGGGGGACTGTCGATGTAGCAATTTACTCTCTTTTCATCCTAATTAGATTAATGATTTTTATTTTTCAGCATTTAGATGTAGTGTCGATGGAATCTTTGGTGATCCATTAAGTTGTAGAGTTTTCCATTGGTGTGTAGGCGGCCGTGATATCAGAATGGGGTGTCCAGCTAACACAGGTTTCAATTCTACGTTAAAAGTATGTGCTTGGATGGACTGTTAAAACTTCCCTGCTTGAATGAAAAAAAACATCTCACATTTGTACATACACATTCTAAGACAAAGAAAAAGAGACAAAAGTTTTAATATATTATCATTATGTATTATGTAAATAAATTATTATGGCAATGTAAATAATATTAATATATATGATCCGATTATTGTTTAACGAATAAAAATTATGACCTTTCCAATTGTGTTGCATCTTACTTGAAAAAGTTACTGGGACCATCAGGTTTGAAAGAGTACTTTTTTAATCATCAAAAAGATTAAGGCCTTGGGATGGAATTAAGCTCCGGTGCATAGACTACATTATCAATACACCTGTGCTTAAATATGTCGTAATCAAATGCCGGTTATCGTTGTTTCGAACATCCTCGAAAATATATTACATGATCAAGGCCAAGTCAAAGTGACAATCCAGAACTTCAAAGTGTTGACCAGTTGGATACCAGAATGAATGTGTAACAATTAAATTCTCTTCACGATTAGCTTGGTAAATATCATTAAACTCTTACTTAATATAAGGATTAAGAATATAAAGACTTGGGTTTATTTTCTTTGTCTATTATCGTAAAGGACGGGTAGGAATGCTGTATGGACGTTGTATCTCACTGGAGTAAATTTTCTTCTTTATTTCTGTAACATTGTTCAATATGAAGGACTATATAGCATATTTTTTGTTGCTGATAAGTATATTGGCACCTGAAGGTAAGGCTGATTTTGTTTTTTTTTTGCCTGTATCATCTTCAATAAGCAGACAGCAACTCTACATCTTCATGAAAAGTTCATTTGATAACTCTGATCACTCTATCGGGAACGATTCGACATCCACACCTTTAACCATATACAAAGACCCCGAGAATTTTGTTTATCACCAAATACTTTAGACCTCGCGTTTTCTAGCAATCCGTTGCTATTTATTCTTGTAGTTCATTCAAAGAAGTTCAATGTGGTATGCTATTATGCCAATTGGTCTCAGTATCGTACAGGAAATGGACAGTTCTTTCCAGAAGATATCAACCCTAAGAGTTGTACACACGTCATATATTCCTTTGCTCATATCTCTGGTAATAGACTGATACCAACTGAATGGAATGATGATACTCAATATCCTAGAGGAATGTAAGTCAATGAATAGATGTAATAGATAAATACTATCCATTTAATTTATTACCACCGCAATAATATTAGTCTGGTGGTCTCAGCTTAATGTTTGTCAATATTAGCAATATATCGAACTAAGCTCATGTTAGCAAAAGACAGATAATGTAGCAGACAGTTTTGTTTACATTGATGTCCCTACGTATACAATAAAGAAGCCGAACATAACTAGTCCTACCCACAGACGTGATAAGTGAATATACGGATGTGGTGTCGTCCATAAGTTAAGCCCGCATATCAACTGTATTGTGGCATCGAGTGAGACACATGGACATTGCGGAATATCCAGAAATGTCTTCACGTATGACGAAATGGTGAAAATTCCCAAAAACTAGCGTTCCAAAACTGGATCCCATAAATTGCGACTTTTTGAGTCTAGCTCTGACCTTGGCGATATCACACCCAGTTATCACGTCCGAAGAACAAGAGGAGCCAAATTTGCCGGGCTTATAATAAGGTATTATTACCGGGGTAAATTGTTTTAATATAATAATAATGTTAGGGATGGCACAGCTAGAAAAAAATTCCAGAGTGATATTTCAAGCCTATTGACGTTATTAATGTTAAAGGTATTATCGAGTTTTGGATCTGAAGAAATCGAATCCCAGTTTGAAAATTCTGCTAGCCGTTGGAGGATGGAGTATGCCAGTCAAAGATTTTTCTAAAATGGCATCCACTTGGGAAAACCGACGTGAATTTATAGACACAAGTATTGAATACTTGAGAAGATTTGGTTTTGACGGATTAGATTTAGATTGGGAATACCCAGCTAATCGCGGCAGTCCACCAATCGATAAAAAACGGTATACGTTTCTCGTGAAGGTAAGGGGTAAACATTATGATGACTTTCACAACAGTTATTGTTCGACTTTAGTTCAAATTTCTTTTGTTTGCATGCTTTTTAAAATTATCAAAAGACATGATTATCATTACCAACAGTACTTAATAGTATGCTGTCATTAATTTTTTTATCACGAATTTTTCTAAATAATAGGAGCTGAGGGAAGCCTTTGAGAAAGAGGGACGTGAAACAGGTCGAGATAGACTATTAATAACAGCAGCAGTACCTGCACCTCAAACTATTGTTGATAGAGGATACGAAGTAGCTGCTATAGGAAAGTAAGATAAAATTATTTTGATGCATTCCAAAGTATCTACCAAATATTTAGGATTTGTGTCTCATTTATACAGACCGTATAGGTAATTAGACGAAAGGAATCATAAGTTTTTGAAGCTTTAAATTTAGGATATCGCAAGCAATGTAGCAAGATGTGTTTACGTTGGCATTCTTAATTTGGGATACTTCATTACAGGAGTCTGGATATGATAAATTTAATGGCCTACGACTTCCATGGTGGTTGGGATGATGTCACGGGACACAATGCTCCACTGTTTGCTTATCGTGGAGATCCCACACCAACTCTGACAGTGGTAGGTACATTTCTGAAATGACAATATGATTTTGTAACCTTCCCAAATTATTGCCAATAATAATCTTTATAAAGCTGTCTTCAAAAATTAATATTCCAATAATCCGTGGAATCGCAGCGAGTGTAAGATATAATATGCTCACTATCAAAAGGGCTGATTGAGATAAGAATCTGGGCAAAAGGCAAAAAAACTAAATACGGTATTCTCGATTTCCATTTGAAATTAATTTTATCTTTGTAGGAATATACAGCAAAGTATTGGGTTCAGGAAGGTGCACCTAAAGAGAAAATTAATATTGGTATGCCGATGTATGGTAAAACGTTTACACTAGCAAACAAATATAATACTGGATTAGGTGCTCCAGTTACTGGACCTGGTAGAAAGGGACCTTACTCACTGGAATCTGGCCTTTTGGTCTTCTACGAGGTAAATGACCCATTAACTCATTGCTATTTTGCTATATTGCTATTTCCTAGTGGCTTAAATTGAATCTCTATCATCACCGCCAAATAATAATCAATAATCAACAAGTGCACAGTAACGATATTTGGACAAATGATCTTTGATTAGCATAGTAGTGGCGGGTGTCGCACGAGAAGCAGACCATGCTTACTCTTTTCTTTGGAGGAGTCCACTACTATAATATTTTTACTCCTGATTTTGCCATGCTTTGGACGAGATGTTGATTAACGAAATTTCCTTTACTTGTACGGATTTTATTTATAGTATTAAAGTCTTGGTGTTTCTCTATTTAGATTTGTGATGAGGTTTTGAATAAATACCAGACCTTACAAGATGACAATATGAAAGTACCATACGCTGTTTCTGGAGACCAATGGGTTGGCTATGATGACCAGAAAGCTATAGCAGCTAAGGTTAGCAGTAAATCAGATATTTTAACGTGTGTGCGGAATAAATTATAAAAATTCGAGTATAAAAACAATATTTAAAATTACGACAAATTAGATTTCACTCTTCAAATAATGTCCCTTGAAAAAGAAAATTGTCTAGAGTCTTCGTTACTGTTTAACGATTTCGTCTTCGGTCAAAAGTCTGTATTTTCGAAAGACAACAATGCATGTTTGGATTTAGGGTTTGTAATAACTAAAACCAACGAGATGAACACAAACTGAACAGTATGTATGATTTGGTTTTAGTTAGATTGGTTATTAAAAGAAGGGTTTGGAGGAGGAATGATATGGGCCCTTGATTTAGACGATTTTTCTGGTGGTTTCTGTGGAAGTCCGTATCCGCTACTTTCTGTCATCACCAACTGTCTATTGGCTGGAAAAGGGCAAGTATTGATAATTTAACATGTTCTTATCCTTCAAATGAAACGAGTTTGGAAGAAGATTGGCATTCTACATTTTTTTGACATGTTAGTTCGTATTCGAGCCAAGAGAAATCGAACATTTACCATTGTATATTAACAGTAGGGCTCAAAAGCTTAAATTCCTGGTAAATCCTATGGTTCATGATACCATATAAAATATTGTAGATCTGAAACGTGCAAGGAAATGGTGTTCTCAGCGCAGTCCACAACTACGACAACCACGACAAGACCGTGGTGGTGGAAACCAACAACCACAAGGAAACCTTGGGTGCCTCCTACCACAACCACAAGGAAACCCTGGGTACAACCAACTACAACCACAAGGAAATCATGGGTACCATCAACCACAAGGAAACCTTGGGTACCACCAAGCACAACAACAAGAAATCCTTGGTGGTGGAGGCCAACAACTAAAAAGCCATGGGTGCCTCCAACAACAACTCAACGGCCTATTGTTCCAGTCAAAGGTTAGAGCAAGGGATATCTGTGGTATTACGTGTATTTGTTTGCCTTAATATAAAACTCATAGCCCATTTTACCCATCTCCGCATTAAGAAAATTTAGAAAAACAGATTGACATTTGAAGTTTTTTAGCCATTTCCTATTAATTCGAAAGCATACAGACCTCTGGGTTTTTACCTTCATAATGTTATAATTTATATTTCAGAATTTAAATGTCCCTTAGCCTGGGGTATGTATCCTGATCCCTTTTCATGCAGGAAGTTTCACGTTTGTGTATATGGTCGAGATATTGCTATGATGTGCCCACCATTTACCGGTTTTAGTGATATACATAAGGTCTGCACATGGATGAAATGTTGAATTAATTGAAATGGGCTATAAATAAAAAAAATCAACTTCATAACCTATGTATCCTTTTATTTCCTTGGCACTTTCAGCTTTGCATATTTTGAAGAATGGTCGCAAATGAATAATGCCAAATACACATTATTGGCTTTTTGAACTGAAAGGGTTGACAAACTTTGGGAAAATGTGGGGGCGGGTGTTGAAGGTAGATTATGATCTGTCTTGCTTGCGACTTTCACCACAGATACTATTGTAGTGGAATTCAATTATTCTGATTTTTAAGCATATCAACCCGACATCCTTTCGGAGAGTTCCCATAGGTTATAGACTTTTTGATAAATTTATCATCTAACGAGATTCTAATTCCCTTCTAAAGCACTTTATCATAAATGTCTATAGCTGATCTTCAATCTATTTTTAATTCAAATAAATTAAATTGCATGAATGGAAAGATTCACATCTACACTTTACTAAGTTGTAATAGATAAGTTTCTGAGAGCATATGGATAGCTGATACAAAGAACCATAGTCCAGAAACATACAAAAAAACTACATCACTGTATAACGCCAGCGATAACAATCACACATGAAGAATCGTGTCATTCATTAGTTTCTACAGTGAAATATGAGGTGCAAATAACATATTCGTTGAAATATTCTTGAAAAGCACGAATGTGATTAAAAACTGTGAGATTGAAATGTTATGATATTCTGAAAACATTGATCCAACCTTTGCAATGACACACATATAAATAATCATTATCATCAAAAGCCACCCCTCGTGGTCTATCTATACCATGGGATTTTGTTAAGCAGTCCTCCATGTATTCTCCATTTTTATTCAGTTTAAGAACTCTAGCACCATTGTAATCTGCTAGATAAATACACTCATCTATTGAAGAGCAAACACCGTAAGGAAGTTTGAGCTTATCTCCGTTATCAGATCTATAAGTGAACAATATTTCTCCCGTATGAGTTAAACATGTTACGGCTTTAGATTTGCAATCTGATATGAGAATATTTCCGCTATAAGTTGCCGATAAATAGCTAGGATCCAATAAATCTTTTAATACTAGTTTCTGTAACACGGTACCAGAGAAGTCAATGACGTCAATAAAGCACCCACCAGAGAACGATGACCTACTAGCTGCCAGACGGTTGGTACCAATTACAGCAATTCCAGTATAGTCAGATTGTGTTTCTACCATTCTACTTACTTGAAATTGAGGTATAACATCAATAAACATAACATGTTTACTGGCTGTAACTATCACTGTTTGGTTGTTCAGTTTCTCGATTCGTCTTGGATTGCGTAATGTTATTTTCCGAGGAGGATTAGACAGAAGTTTAATACAGTTATTGGTGCCATCGACTACAATGGGAATACACTGATTGTTGACCGTCACGATAACTAAATCTATGGCACTAGAATCACCCTTATTTTCTCCTTCTAAATGAGTTTCTAATCTCATGAGTTTATAGGAAGAGCGTGGTTTGATAGATCCAATTACCTCAGTCTCTACCACAGAAGATAATTTTTGATTTTCAACAAACTTCACATCGACGCAGATGGGTAGATTGATATCTGCAGAAGATATGTTTAACAGACGATGTTTCTGTATTTCGATTAATTGTGTATTGTTTAATATGTCTGTATCTGAACCCATCGTAATTACAGAAGCAATAAATTTCTCTACCTGCCTTAAAGCTGTGAATGTTTTCTTACTTGTGGTCTGTCTGGTTATCAACTCCCCCGATGTTATTTCATACTCTTTCTCGCATTTCTCAAGTAGTCGGCTTTCGGACTGTCTGATTGTCTTTATGATATCGTTAACATAATCTTTAATTGCCTGGTCAGTTCTATGTTTACTCTCCTCAAGTTGATTAGTTTTGATTTGTAGATCGGCTAAATTTTTCTCCGCCATTATAACATGTGATTTGATTTCATTCAGTGATTGATGGAGATGGGAACGACTTGTCCGTGCAACTTTCGATACACTTTCGATATTTTTACACTTTCTATGTGCTACAATAGCACACGTTTGACACAAGGTTACACAACACTGATCACAGTAGAACTCTATACAATGATCTGGATGAGATAAACAAATAGGATTTCCGGATTTATTACGTTCCTGTTCAGACACTTTGCTTATTGGAACAGTACCGTGTGTTTTGGTCACTTTCATTTTCCCATGAACCACAGAGCAGTTATCACATAACCCATCATGGCAGTTTTGACACCACACTGTAGCTTTAACTATATTATCAGCATCGGAACATAAAGCACATAAATCACCTGAAATATACAATACAAACATTCACAAAGAGTTATAAAAAGCAAAAAGTCTTCTTTGGCAAAATTTCACGTTTGTATATCAAAATTCGTGAGCAAGGAAATGACTAGTTGTAGTATTGAAGTTTTATACTATAGCCGTACACTGCCAAATTCCAGATTAAAACGTAAGGAAACACAAGTACACAATGTTTCAATTTATTCCGACTGTGTTGACGTTAAATATTTAAATGCGCACATTTAATAGTTCTTCAATCGTGCTATGTTGTGCGCTTAATCCAATTTCTTTTAATTCAATTTCTATGTTTGCAAACTGTATCTGCCATTGGATCTCTGTAATGAGTCACATAAAAAAACCTGTCAATAATTAATATTTTACCAAAGAAAAGCATATGGTTATAGAGTAACTATCTTTAATTATTGACTGGTCTGTTTCATTTACACAGGACGGAAATAATAGAGGAGTGCTACATTAACTATTTATGTCTTCATCAGCTTGTTCAGAGTAACAAGAACACGTTAAATCTATAAAATAACTTGCTTTCTACTTAGATTTAAATGAATTGTTAACATTGACATCACGTACTATGTGAAGATTTGTCGGAATTCAATAAAGAGTCTAGGGATTTAACAGGTTTTTATTTAATTGAGCCTATCGCAAGACAAATTTTCCTTGAAGTTATCATTTACTTACAGCACAAGATTGTATGTTTTGTAAGGTATTTAATTGTGTGAGAGGGTGTGTTTGTGTGAGTTTGATGTGTTATGGTAAGGCAAGTTTGGTGAAAAGTAAAAGTTTGTATATTTTGTATGCAGGGCTTTCAACGTTTTTCTTTCTTTTATCCTATTTAGGGTCTTTAATCAATTGCATGACGCCCCCCCCCCCCCACCCTTTTCTATTTCGTGACTTTCTTTGTGCAATTTTCTGCAATCTTTTTCATGTCGGAGAACATTTTTTCAATTAATAAATTTCTAAATTATCCTACTTGGGATAATTACCCCTAGGTTGAAAACCCCCGATGTAGTGTGTGTGTATATTTGTTGTGTTACTAATATTGAGTACGAAAGTGTGATACATTGAACGATTATGTGATGGTGTCAATATATTTTCTGTTAGCAGTTGAGTGATTACTGCTTAGTGATAATTGTTTTGTTATTGTGTTTGTGTACAAATACGGTTGGAAAAGTCCAACAAAGAAGTTTCATGATTTCACTAACCTTTTACCAAAACATAACTAGATTTGAATAATGTCTAAAGATATTATCGAATTTCAACTATCGGAAACACTAATAAAAAAATTAAAAAGAGTTTCATAATTCATCTTTTCCCCTTTCACAATTGTTAACATTCTTCAGTCAGAATTATTCAGACACAAAAAAAACCCTTGAATTTGAGTTTCATTTCCCGATTGAATGGATTTGAAATACATGTCTTACAGTGCATCATATTATCGATTTTCAGCAATATCTCCGATTCGAGACCATATACAAGTTATTTTATGGCACTGGTGCTTTGTAAAACGTTCATAATTACTATGACTTTCAAATTTCAAAAGCATGATACTCTCAGAGAATCTAGATTTTCTTTAAAAATCATGAATGTCGATTGCTTCTGATTATTAGGGTGTTTGGTTACAAATAGCATTGACGTCACGTCACACCTATGATAACAAGGTAGTTGTAGAGAAGAAAGGGGGTGAAAATTGAATCAATATACTGTAAATATTTATATTACTGTATATCTATGTTGTGTGAATCAGGACGAGACATTGAATACATAGGTGACAGATGGCAGCATGTGTTCTATTGCACGGGAGATCTAGAAAAACATGAAAAAAGAACGAACAAACGGACAACTTTACATTGATAACTAGCTGAGGTTCACGAGGGTCCTTTCTACCAGTTGATTCCTGGCCAAAACTCTTAGAATCGATTTTTCCCGGATTATCTGTTTTCAATATTGATAAACGTTACTTACCAGAACTTTTACCAGTAATTGTATCAGCCAAACATTTCAAAAATTGACTGGATGGTAACTTTTCAGCCCATCTAGATATAGGTAATGTATCACAGGGGCTCTGAATTATCTCATCACAAACAGGGCACAGAAAACATCCCTCGGCTTCTACTTCTTTACTCCTTTTATCTATATAACTCTGTATACACGACTGGCAGAAACTGTGAAGGCACTTGAGAGTCACGGGAGAATCAAAGTCTTGGCAGCATAATCCACAAGTGAGATGATACTCCGATCCGGTAGACAGTGAGGCCATGTCTAAAATGAATAATACAAGAGTGGAATGAAGTTCATACAATGAACATACAGCGAAGATCAATAGAAAAGCTAGCAGACGAAGTTTAAGAAAACAGATCCAGTAACGAGAATCAATGAACTATGAGAAGTTAATAAGATAATATTATAAATCAATACATATTAAACTAATAACTAGTCATATATTTACATTCTTAAAATGGTCATAATCCTATTATATTACCTATTGTGTTAGTATTACAAAACAAGAAATTTCACGTCCGATGTTCCGACCATAAGCTGAAAAGAAGGCATAACTTTTTATCTATCATGGCATCGTCTTCAAAATGTCGAGCTATTATACCTTGACTGCAATAAGCACTATTGCTGTATTACGGGATGCATCGATTTGATTGGATTGTACGCCAGCGAATATATCCAATCAGAGGCCTCGACAGAAAGGCAATTAACCATATGCATTTGTGACTGTTCACATACTTTTTTTTTTGTCGAGGAAGAAGACTGGCCGTATTCACCTCTTGGCAGGACGTTCATTTTATGTTATTGAACACATGTGATGGCTTTCGTTTTCAAAATATTTAATACATTGTTACTATAACACTAAATTTCCCAGTGCTTTTAATTTAGATCAGCGTAATCTCGTTCATTTATAATAGTTATATCTGTTTTCAATAAGGCATACCTGGAGAATTCAAGTCAACGAATAGCCGTTACACAACGAGAACGGTATATCCCTATATAATTTATACCCCTATTTCAACCTTCAAACCAACTAAAATTTACCACTGGTCAATAAAATATTTTAAATAATTACATTACTTTTTGGCTTCGTGACAAAACTTCTATTACGTAAAGTAACTACACTAGTCTTTTTGCGTGAACTTGTTTCATTACTGTTGTTAAAGCGGAAATATCAAGCAAAAAATTTAATCCAATTTTGTATGCAGAAAAATAATGGCTACTGATCACATTATGTGATATCCTTGCCGCTGCGTTCTGACAATCCTAATGTTTTCTAGCACAGTCGGTGCTGGTAGAAGGGATCTTTTAATAGTTGTATAAACCCAATTTGTTATCTTTGTCGATAAAAAAATCTTTCTCTCATTCTTTTTTCGATAGAACTACATCATCATCATCACCATACAACATAAATATTGTTAATGTAATTTGATTATTGGGTTACAAGGAATACACAAGTGATACTTCCAGAACTCTCATGAAAATAATTTTATACATAGATAAAATATGTCATTACGTTATCGTTTTTCAATATTCCTGTGTGTCTCCATTTACGTAAATCAGTTGTTAAACTGTTTCATCATACATTGCAACTGAGTGAAATTCGTTGGGTCAACTTTATACATTTACTCTGTATCAAATCAAACTATTTCTGCGCATGTATTTATCTCCAACTGCCTAGGAAAGATTTATCATATAATCACATTAAAATTATACATAATCATAACCAGTTGTAGACCAAGATGGAGATGAGAGATAGTGTGTTACCATATAACTTTCCATACGCCACTCTAATATCCCATTTACATGTATTTCCTACGAGAATTGCCACGACGTGCACGCTGATTTCATGATCAGACCTATTATCACAGAATCTTGAGGAAATGCGATTACATTGCTTCGAGGAATAGTAAATGAATCAAACTTACTTGGAATATTGTGTACGTAAGACCAATCAAAGTTCAAATAACGAATCCAGCAATAGTGTTTTAGATACAGCTGTTACAAGGATATTTCTTCAAATTCCTTTATTATATTTACATGTTCATAAAATATTGTGTATGAAAAGTCAATAGAAATACTATGTGAAGTTTTTATATAGAATCGATAGAGTCTGGTATATACAGTAGATATAGATGCAATCATTAACTTTACCACCTGATATAACCTGTAAAAAGTGTAAACAGGGTATATACGCCCCCGTCAGGAAAACCTGGTGGCTCTTTGTGATTGAGTCTTTCGACTTTAACTTACAGTAGATAGTATCTGGAATATCAGGAGCTTTGTTTGATGTAAATCACTAGATCACTATACATCTGATCAGTGTACCGTATGGAATACATCAACTATTACCTACTTTACCAATCGGCAGATCTTCGATTTTTAAGTTTCAATCCAATACGAAACTACAAAACTTTCTTACGACCATTTTGAATCTCTATATCGATAAGTCTCCCGAATAAAGGGCTATAATATTTCAACAAAATCCTTTTCCTTAAAATGTGATTTGATGGCTTAGTTGAAATATAATAGCCTTTTGAAAACCCATTCGTAGTTTCGTATGGTTTCATTCCCTTCGACCTGCATCATAGGGGGTAACCCAACAAAAAGACTCAATTGCGATGCTTTATAGTTCCTTGTCTTAATATCGTGACATCCTGATAGCTTAACTAAAAGGATGAGACTAGTTAAATTGATTGGAAGCTCGCATGTTTCTTCACAATCAAATCGAAATCCAAGAACATAATTAGTAGACAATATCAAGCTTATCTCGATAAACTTTATTTCTGTGGTGTTACCTCGAGCAATGGAGATCATAATGTCGAACTAGCGCAGAAAATGCGTGAGATTCTTATCAGAAGAGCCACGGGCTTTCACTTCCACCAATTAATATCTAGATCATTTTCTTAATCTGAAATCTTCCATTCCTCCTGGGGCTTCATCTGAGGATATTTTGGGTGTTGGTCGAAACTCCTACGTTCCGCTATATTTTCCAATCTGAATTATTATTTTTTTGCTTTCTTATAGCAAAATATCATTTTCCGGTATAAAAAGGGTTATGGATGCCTTCAGCTTGTAGTTTGTATCCTTTTCGACATTAAAGATGGGTTTCCTTATTTATATGTGTCATATTAAGCAAACTATTTGATTAATTGGTGTTTCTAATGTATTATCATGCATTTTGAATCATATCATTATGCTCTTATTGCATATAATTAAGAGTTTTAATCAATCATAAATGTCCATGTTTGTACAGTCTGGATAAACAAAAAAAAAAAAAATAAAATGTGTTATATTCCATAATATTGTCTTGTGTTTTTGTTATATCTTCTAATTTAGCTAATTATGAATTAATTATGGACATGTGAGACAAACTTGGGTTTTTTCCAAGTCATGAGGACACCTCTACTTTCTATTCATATAAATATTAGCATTTTCATTTTAATAAATGAAAATCAGGAAACTCCTCTTTAAATGTTTTGATCATAAAAAGGCATAGAATTTGATGCCAATCGTCTATCCTCGTAAATCGTCAATCTAGTCTGGTATTCAAATTAGTAAGTAGTAAAAACCAACACATCTTGAATAAATTGAGAACCAGTAGCATGGAGATAAGTAACTATTTACAATGCGTTATGGCTCTATTTGCTTCAGCGACTATTTAACTAATGTTCCTTATCATCTCCAGGAATTACAATGAATGATTCCATTTTACTAGTAAATGGCATTATTGACTTTAGTACCAGTGTATAGTCCTCTTTTAGGTCAGTGAATTATGATCATCGTTGGTTGGACAATTGTCGCGTTATGATATATACTATAAGACCAAAGAATACATCAAATTTATGAAATGAAGCCGATCTTTATTTGTTCTAACCATATACATTGCAAATGGGTAATAATTTCGCCATTATCAATAGATGTATAATTCACTCATCAACATTGATCATAAACAATAGCCTCGACAAAAACAAAAGAATTTTTATAGAGCGATAATATGATTTCTGTTTCAATATTTACCTTGTTACCCCAGAATAATACAATGAATATTCCATTCATTTTGTACAGCGTTGAAGTTTTATTGTCTCATGATCACTACCAATTGTTATAATTATTAAAATAATGGCACTACATTAAATTATCTCATACCTTCGTCCATGCCAAATTACATTTTACTACAGAAACATATATGTATTGTGTCGAATGGGAAATAACAAAGCATCCATGGCTTCTGTATTTAACACCCTTCACAGTGATCAGTATTACTAGAATAGATAGAGGTAAGGGTGAAGACCTTGGGTTCGGGAGGGACCATCGCCAATTTTTCTCCGCATATACATTTTAGGTGATTCTGGGAACGTTTTTGTTAATAAAGGACTTGAATCCTGCATTTTATTAAATTCAGGGTCGGGGCAATATCTTGACGCCTGTGCGTAAGTAGTAAAGTGTTTCCAGTTATGAATTTTGATCGAATTGTGGAAACTTCCAAATGTTTGACATGGAATTTTAAGTCTAGTTTCATCAACTGAGTTGAAGACGGACAATGCCATGTAACGTCATGAACTTCCTGATGATAATGATAATAGGATTATAAAGGACACAGAACTAGAAGTATATTAAGGTCAGTGTATAAGAAGATTTAATGAAAATGAAGATCGGGGGGATGAGACAGGATTATTTGTCAGTCAGTTGACTTGTCTGTACCTGTTTCATATATCATTAATGACTATTACTTTATTATTTCCTTTGTGTTGTGTATTATTATGTAGGTCTAGAATGATTCTGGTGATTGATTTTACTACCAGCAAGAATCTAACAAATATTAAAAAAATTACCATATACAGCTGTGTCGAAACTATACTGATATTTTTAGCTATTAATTGATTTTCAAAAGCTGAATATAAAGCCATGAGTTGATTTCAGTTGAATAGGAGTGTGGTGTTCATATGGGAAGCAGAAATTTATCGACAAAAAAAGTAGAAGATGGTATCAGATGCAAACTGGCTGGAATCTGACGCCAACTTTATAGTAGTTGAGGGATTGAAATAAGTGTTCTATATCTCAGACGGTGGGTGGCAGCGACCTAAAAATCCCCAGGCAGACTCGCACATTCATTGATCGAAGTCGTGCTTCGCCCAACATCTCAACCCTTCAAAATTTTCGGTCACACCATTTTAGTTGAAGGGGAATAACTCTATGTTTTCTTCACCTGATTGACTTGTGCAGTGTGCAATGAGGGAAATTCGGTTTTTGACAGCAGCTTAGGACCATTCTTTTTCTATTTCCAGCACAGGCCTTTAGCACACGCTGTCTTGGTATTTTGTCCCATTAGAGCCCTTCATCCTGCATTACAAGAGGCACCCGGTTGATAAATTCGATGGTATCATCTTGACCTATGTCGGGATGGATACCTGTAAACGTAACAGTTTACACTATGGGAAAAGGTTTCAGATTCGTTGACAGTGGCGGCGCCCTTGGTTTGTATCCCAACTATATTTCTAACAAACTTAAAAAATGATTTTTATACGTTTTTGCCCTAAAAAAATCAGAATGCACCAAATCAATTCTATTTTTCAATTATGTTCTTCCACAGTGATACCGCATTTACAATTTCAACCTCAACAGTTGTCCAAAAAAGTTAATCCGCCCCGTTTCTGTTTGTTTTCCTTGACTGAGAACACTGGCTGAAACAGTTTGGTTCGTACGGACGTACCAGTAATCTTTATTTACAATTTCAACCTCAACAGTTGTCCAAAAAAGTTAATCCGCCCCGTTTCTGTTTGTTTTCCTTGACTGAGAACACTGGCTGAAACAGTTTGGTTCGTACGGACGTACCAGTAATCTTTATTTCAAATCTTTGAATGGCAGCAGTATTTTACATAATTGTAAAATAAAATAACTTTAAAACGCAAATAATTTATGGTGTCACCGAAAATTAGAATTTCGTGGTACTGAAAAAACATTTCTTTTGTAGGTAAATGAAGAAAACAGATGCAATGTCTGTAAAAGTTATATTGTTCAAATTCTGTACACATTTGTACATTTGGTCTGCTTACTAAAGACCAAAATTGCGATTATGATCCATCATCAATTACTGTACATCACTATATTTTATATTTAAGTCTTTTCGAATCCATCAACATCAGACTGATGTTATATGATTTAAATGCACATAATATCATTGTACAGCAAGTGTCGTATACGGAATTATTATTGACAAATACACAGTGTAACGATATACATCACAAGACTTTATTTACATATATTAATCCATTCATTCCTTACTTTCCCGCGCTTTGAAAAATCCTGTATCAGACGAGCATTCACGAATCGTTATAGTTTGTGCTTCGGTTGTAACATCTGTAATACATATACTATCTAACACGGGTTTCACTGATATCGGTGGTGACCAGTAATTCTTGAGTTCAATAGGCTTCTCTTCGAATTTAGAGAACAGTTTATCACTTTGTTCAAGTCTATCGGACAGTTTGTTGTTCAACATTTGATTATTTTCACCGTTACTTTTAACATTCGAATGTCCATTTTTTAGAAAGCTTGTTTTATTTGTCCTCCTTCCCATCTGTTTAGTAACTTTGACTTTTAATTTTGGTCTCTTTTTATCTTTGTCTTTTAAACGAGGTCGACCAACTGGATTCTTCGGTTTCCCATCAGCGGTTTTCAATAACTTGGCTTTTGTTTTTCTAGCTCGTTTCAATGCTGGATTTTTCTTGGCAGGGGGTACCCATCCCGGTGGCCTCGGATATTTAGGAGGTCGTCCTGGACCCCGTTTGACAGGAACCGGAGGAGGATCTGGAGTATTCGGGCCCGGAGATCCGGTATAAGATGATTCACCGAATGACGAACTCTTCTTGTCTTGCTTTGAAGATGAACTTTGTTCGTCGGCTGGTTTTTTAATTTCTTTCTGTCGTAATTTATTGTGGTTCTCTTGACTGCTGTTACTGTTGGTATCTGAGGCAAAGATTGAAGTGTCGTCATCATCTTCGTGTTCATCATTCTTATCACTATCATCTTCACTGATTTCCCGTCTTGCAGCAGCTTCCTAGAATACAGTAAACATACAATATACTTTCTATTACTTTAATTGGATATACTTACATTTCAATTTCACAGATTGAAAAATATCTTTTTTTCTCAAATTCTCGATCCGTTTGACCAATTGTACCTTAATCTCAGAAACGGAAAGTTGTTTTTAGCTAAGCTTATTGTCACAGTTCGCCGTCGAAATTCAAACCTTCAAATCCATGTGTCAAGAATTATCGGAGTTTGAAATTTAAAAATTTCACAAGACGAATCATATTTTCTTGAGATTCTGCCTTATATAGAAAAGACATTATGTGAATAGATAGTGAATTTCTTAGTTTTGAAAGAATTATGATATTTTCTAGTATGACATTTTTATAGTTCTGAAGACGTTTTACATATACATATAGTCAAAACCCAAATCAGCCCAGGAATGGCGAATCTGTCCTTGTAAAATAATTATTTTAATGACTTTTAAAAGTTAAAACACTAACATATGAATGTACTTCTTCTGATTGTATAACATACCACATTTTGAAAAAAAATTCAGGTAACATTAGTACCGTAATCATAACGTTATAACGTTATAAGTATAGTAACTGACAATGTAAGTAAAAGTTATATTGTATTGTGGTTGTTTATTTATTTTCCCATTAAAGCTATCTTGTTTAAAAATTGTTAATTAAATTTATTCCTGAAAATTTTGAAAAAAACGAATTTTTCTTTTGAATTTCATTGGCCATTAGTGATATTACTCTCTAACAATTACTTTAACGATTTACTGAAGTTAAGTAATCCGCAATCATAATTAAGTTTTCTTGTTACACAAAAAATACATATTTGAACATAAATTCGATAAAAAAAAAAAGGTAACATAAAAATGTTCCTGTATAATTCATCTTTTGACATTTGACAAAATGTATGATTACTTTTTGACCGAAAAAAAATTTTGATTTCGTCCTTGGATAGAATTTTGCCGATATTTTTACCTAAATATAGCTTCAACATATTATTGACCGTATAAAATGACTTTACGATGGTCAATGACGACCACGGCCTCCCGAGACTTGGGGAACGAATAAGGGGTAGATTGACTATCAAGCCTTGAATGTGATTTCAAGAACAAGGGCAATAACTCATATTAAATACTTTTAGGGTTTTTTTAATATCTAAAGAGTACATCATTGGGAAATAATTAATAATCATCGATAAATAATTAATTATTTCACGACATTTGGTCTAAATCTCTCAAGAATTGAGCCTTCAAGATCTTTCACATGTTAAAAATTGAACATGTTTTCAAGAACAAGGGCAATAACTCATATCAAATACTTTTCAATTTGTCTGATTTTCAATGCGGTTCATCCTATTATGATAACAAACACTGGTACCAAATTTTATCAAAATCTCTCTAGAAACTAGCTCTCTATAGTGACCACAACATATTTTCAATTAAAAATTGAAAGCGTTTTCAAGAACAAGGGCAAGAACTCATCAAATATTTTTCGATTTGTCTGATTTTCAATAGGGTTCATCCTTGGGTAATAACAAGCATTGACACCAATTCCGTCCCAATGGCGCCGCCAACATGAGTATATATTATCACTGCCAAAGGTGTTTTATCAGATCTTCGATTAACGGCGGACAGTAAGTTTTTATTTTTCGTATTTCTAAATGCTCGATTACACAGAAAGAAAGTCTACTAATGTTAGATTATTTTTAAATATATAAAAAAAATCTTCATTTATTTGTTTTGTAAAATTATATTTATTAGGGAAAATTTCATATTATTATTGTTTCAAACATAAAATATAATAGGATTTGAAAATATCTATCTATTAATTCATTTCCCTTTATAACTGTCAACAAAAATGTCCAACAGCAAAACTAAATAACCTACACACATGTGTTATATTATATAAAGTATGTAAAAAAAGTTATACCAGTGAGATAATTGTACCATTGTTTACACAATAGATTATTACGTGTGCTAATTTAATATAACCTCCATGGAGTTGGCGCAAATTGCTAATGAATATGGCTCTTCAATATTCCTTTGTATTGAGGATTATTTTTTTTGCATGCACATAATTATGATCAATATAGGCTAATATGAAAATGCATATATTATGTTACATAAAATGAGGTTAGACGTAGAAATGAACTCAAACATAACTGTTCACTAGTTATTTAATTATTATTCATTAGTACGTATTTTTAGAATTATCGTACTTTATAAGGACATAATAATAGTGACAGATTTTCCTTGTCCCTTTATACTTTCTATTTTCGGAGTTGTGTACATATACAATTTTCTTATATATTTCGATTATTAGCCTTCTCAACGTAAATATATTTATTAAACCTATGACATCGGTTAAATAATTTTATATAAAAATTCACAAGAAATAACCTCTGGAAATTACACAAATGCCAAAAACATAAGTCAACTAAAATTTACTATTTAAACTTGAAAATAAAATTGATTAAAGCTCACTTACTTGCTGTAATTTTAATTTCTTAGGCTTGGGTCCTCGTTTGTGACATCTACCATCATTTTCTCTCAAACTAAAGTAAAATATTGGGAACAAATTAAATGTAAATGTAGGAGGTATATTTAAGAAATTTAAATTGTAAAAGTAATGTTGAACGTGTTAAGAAAAGTGATTATAGCAAGCGGCCATGACAGATGTATAATATCTCTACTAACCTCGCTTTAAATGCTTGGATTAACCGCTGATCAAGTATATTTTCTTCTGGTTCCCACGTATTAAACCTACACAGGAAAAAATAAACAAAATGTTAGCTATCTCGATATATTTTTCATACATTTAATTTGATAACATTTAGAGAAGGAAAATTAATTTCAACTTACTTTGTCGACCAGCCTTTCCACTTGATATAAAATTCAGTCCGGCCCTGTAAAATGAAAACGTATATTGTGAGACTAGGTCAAATAATTCGTTGAGATCGAACACAAAACAAAGATAAATTCACATACCCGCAATGTCCTCTTCTTCTCGATACGTTCTGCAGCAAACACCCTTTCCCCCATATTTTGTAACTCCATTCCAATTTAAGAAAACAATGTAAAATTTTCCGTTGTTTACGGTTTTACAAACCGTGCCATAGATGCATCGCTACATCCCATAATACTCAGTGTGTGACGTCACTACAATATTTTGTATAGGGTTTATTTCGACCTGGTTATATGAACAATACGTCGCGTGGGGGTTAAATCCTCTATTTTAATTTATTCTTTCTGGGCTTCATTCTTAACCATCTTAAATACAGGCCCTCCGAATAGCCTATCATGCAGTTATTATTAGTTGTCCTTGTCGCCTCTTTGTTTTTTTATATCGATTGACTATTCGCTTTAGAAATTTAAAGAAACATCGATATATATATATTTTTTTAATTAAATTCAAGAGGTAATTTTTATACGATTTATGATGTAAGGAAATATATGATACGAATATCTTTGTTATATTTTAAGTTTTATGATTTTGTCTGAGAATTTTCAACGTGTATTTATAAGTATATACTGTGTACTGAAAATCTTTTCTTATCAATTTTATATACCTTGTTTTGATAACAATATGAACATTTTATTATTTATGCAATAATGTAACTGTGCCGAAAACGCTATATCTTCACATAGATTTAGAATAATTTTTAACGATTTCAATGTATTATTTTATAAATTCACAAAAATTATCTGTGTATACATAATAGAACAACTTATTAAGTATTAAGAATGATTTCTTTTTTCAAACAGTTTATTTAATAACAAAGTTACATGGTTTATATATATAGTTTGTATAATAAATTATAATTACATTACATCTTATTTCATCCACGAGGCTTTATGAATATTTCATTACTTTTGTATCGTTTTCCAGACATTTATAAATTCTAATTGATTTTTTAGTTTTTATTGATTTTAATAAGATGATTTTGGTTTTGTATATAGAATGATATAATACAGTTTATAACTCATTCAGTATTATTTTGGTTATTATACTTGTAAATAATATTAATTTTACTCATATTTAATGCAGTAAAAAGGAATTTCGTTCAAACTGGTTAAACGTATTTGTACGTTTTACTTTACCGTCTGATGTATTTATCCTTTATGTACATCGTGATAGATAATGTGTTTTATGAAAAAAATGTGATTAATAAGTCTTATGTTTTGTTAAATTTTATCTTATCAAAAATCAAAAATACTTCAAATGCTGGTCCAAGCGTCACTCTTGGAATGGCTCTTATACAATTTAATTTTGTATCGTTATATATGCTTGTACATACCATTGTACAATACAAATAATTTTATTTGAACAAATATTATTGCATATGTTATTTTCAGTTTAAATGCTGGTATTTCAACCTGAATTCAATAATACTGATTTACATTTGAAACGATGTAAACTTTGATAGGACTATTGTTCAGATATTTTAATATTTGGAAATATGTTGCCAATCTCACCATTGAACAACATAACTGAAAATATGGATGTGTTAAAAAAGCTTAGAGGGTGAAAAATTTTTTTCTGATACTGGACGTAGTAAAACCAATATGTTTTCATGTGATTTCTACATTAGTTAATGTTCCGAATAGTTAGCAACCAGAACTATTTTTCCACATTCAATTAGACGTTTGAATTATTTTACTTATTATGAGCGAGTTTCTTTTCGGAAGATCATGGACTATCGTTCAATGTAAAATAGCCATAATAAATTTCTACTACAGGAAACAATTCTTTTTTCCAGACGTATTGAAATAACTTAACTTTCAAAGATGACTGGTTTCTAGTTGGAAGTTTTAAAGACACAAGGAAAGAGAAATTCGTAGATATTCACAAATAATGAGTTGGCTATATTTTATAATTTGATCATTTTATGTTATATTTAAGAAATTATATGAATATGATATTTGTGTAGAATGAGTTGGCAATATTTTATAATTTTATAATTTCGTATTATATTCAAGAAGTTATATGATATTTATGTAGAATGAGTTGTTGACAATATTTTATAATTTGATCATTTTATGTTATATTGAAGAAGTTATATGATATTTATGTAGAAGGAGTTGGCAATATTTTATAATTTGATCATTTCGTGTTATATTCAAGAAGTTATATGGTATTTATGTAGAATGAGTTGGCAATATTTTATAATTTGATCATTTCGTATTATATTCAAGAAGTTATATGAAATTTATGTAGAATGAGTTGGCAATATTTTATAATTTGATCATTTCGTGTTATATTCAAGAAATTATATGATATTTATAGAATGAGTTGGCTATATTTTATAATTTGATCATTTCGTATTATATTCAAGAAGTTATATGATATTTATGTAGAATGAGTTGGCAATGTTTTATAATTTGATCATTTCGTATTATATTTAAGAAATTATATGATATTTATATAGAATGAGTTGGCAATATTTTATAATTTGATCATTTCGTATTATATTTAAGAAATTATATGATATTTATATAGAATGAGTTGGCAATATTTTATAATTTGATCATTTCGTATTATATTCAAGAAGTTATATGATATTTATGTAGAAGGAGTTGGCAATATTTTATAATTGATCATTTCGTGTTATATTGAAGAAATCATATGATATTTATGTAGAATGAGTTGGCAATATTTTATAATTTGATCATTTCGTGTTATATTGAAGAAATCATATGATATTTATGTAGATTGAGTTGGCAATATTTTATAATTTGATCATTTCGTGTTATATTGAAGAAATTATATGATATTTATGTAGAATGAGTTGTTGACAATATTTTATAATTTGATCATTTCGTGTTATATTCAAGAAGTTATATGATATTTATGTAGAATGAGTTGGCACTATTTTTTAATTTGATCATTTCGTGTTATATTTAAGAAATTATATGATATTTATGTAGAATGAGTTGGCACTATTTTATAATTTGATCATTTCGTGTTATATTTAAGAAATTATATGATATTTATGTAGAATGAGTTGTTGACAATATTTTATAATTTGATCATTTCGTGTTATATTTAAGAAATTGTATGATATTTATGTAGAATGAGTTGGCTATATTCTATAATTTGATCATTTCGTATTATATTTAAGAAATTATATGATATTTATGTAGAATGAGTTGGCTATATTCTATAATTTGATCATTTCGTATTATATTTAAGAAATTATATGATATTTATGTAGAATGAGTTGGCTATATTCTATAATTTGATCATTTCGTATTATATTTAAGAAATTATATGATATTTATGTAGAATGAGTTGGCTATATTCTATAATTTGATCATTTCGTGTTATATTTAAGAAATTATATGATATTTATGTAGAATGAGTTGGCTATATTCTATAATTTGATCATTTCGTATTATATTTAAGAAATTATATGATATTTATGTAGAATGAGTTGGCTATATTCTATAATTTGATCATTTCGTGTTATATTTAAGAAATTATATGATATTTATGTAGAATGAGTTGGCTATATTCTATAATTTGATCATTTCGTGTTATATTTAAGAAATTATATGATATTTATGTAGAATGAGTTGGCAATATTTTATAATTTGATCATTTCGTGTTATATTCAAGAAGTTATATGATATTTATGTAGAAGGAGTTGGCAATATTTTATAATTTGATCATTTCGTGTTATATTCAAGAAGTTATATGATATTTATGTAGAATGAGTTGGCAGTATTTTATCATTTGATCGTTTGATTATTTCACGTTATATTTAAATAATCCATTACACAAAGAGTTGTTATACAAATGTTATATGTGAATTAACACATTATTTTTATTCTTTTATGGTATTTAAAATTAACTGCACATTTTGTGTTTATATTTTAATCTTAGTATGAAACCAAAAACCAAAAGTATCCTATTTTTCAGATATTTTTATATTGTTCAAAAATGTGAAGTATTATGTAATCTTGTTTGTAACGAATAATTGTATGTATGACGGTTTAGACTATTTTCTTCTCTTGCATCTGCTGACTATGATATACAGGACATGGCACCATTTAATGAACATAGTTTTCCCAGTAGTAACAACCATCATTACAATAAGACCCCGTCACACCGGTAAGGTGTTCTTATTGCACTGCTACTGCGACAAAGACGCTACAAAAACGTTAGAGGCAACTCAAGGGACTTTTTACTTTAGTTTTCCTCACGATTGGCCGCAACGCAGTATATTTCGAGTCGCCGTTGGATCGCAAATGGTCACAGTCCGGTGTGACGGGGCTATAACCTATTCAGTAATAGACTTTGATTCTTTCGCGATATCAAATTCTGTCACTAAAATTCCCGTATTAAAATGGACATTATCATGTAAGAGCCTGGACAAGAACTACATTAACATATTACTTCTATATTGACCATAATTGAATAGAATTAAAATCTCATTATCGCCATTTTACAGAATTAACTCGATAAAATAAATACAGAATAGGCATTAGCGTTTCAAATTTTATGATTTTGGCAGATTACTTGACTCTTGATATACCGATATAGATAGACGCGGCAGTTGTATTTTTTTGTGCAAAAAAAATATAGAAATGCGTTTTGCAGTTTTAATTGCTCTTCTTTTGCTATATCACAATGCAGTTTTAGCAAGGAATCAAACTTTGCAGGATTTCGTTATTCTTATTGATGATCAATATTGTGGACATTCAACTTGTTCCTTTACTTCAAATAAACGGAAAACTCCAAATCCATTTTGTAGAGAGTGTAGCTGTCAGTTTGATTGTTTTGTTCAACATAATTGCTGTCCAACCACAGCCTTTCAATACAAAGGAATTTATAAAGAAGATACAAGCACAGAATGTATCTCGGCTGATTTAACTGGTAGAGTAACTAATTCAACGAAACATTACCGTCTTGTTAGTAAATGTTCACCAAACCACCCAGATGGTATCTGGAGAAGATCCTGTGAAAATGTTACCGATAACACACCGCTTAGTCTGATACCCGCTCTTGGTTGGTTCAAGGGAGTTAATACTGCATTTTACAGCAGTATACCATGTGCTGGTTGTAATGATATGGAAAATTTGGAACCGTTCTCCTTATTAGCTACCTGTAATCACATCGATATCTTCATACAGGCAAAATCCGAAATAGATGTTTATTATGCAGCAATGAATCAATCCGATTGTCATTTAGAAGCGAGTTTGGCATTCAGAGAACCTGACACTTGTTACCCTAATGATAAATATCTGATACGGTCGTGTAATGTTAGTGGATTATGGAGACAAAGGGATGATATGATAGAAGCTGGTTGTCTGTTACAGATTTATAAAGTACCAGTTAAGAGTAAATATTACAACATTTTCTGCTATTTGTGTAATACTGATCAGGATTTGACTGAATTGATACAGGAAGAACCAGAAATAGAAATAGAACAGATAAAATTTGAAGCGTTCCTTGATGGTTTACCACAAACATTATCAGAACAAAGGAGCGAGAGGCCAAACCCGAATGTTTGTTTTGAAGGTGACTATTTCATAGATCTTAAGGTAAGTGGATTCGCCATTTCGCTTATTCCAAACTAGGAATTTCTATTTTCATTTCTATATGTCTTTCCTCATATATGGCATAGTCGAGTCGTCTTTTTATTTTTTTAACTCGGATAACACATATGGATTTGAAGGCTCAAAATATTTCGACTGTGCGTAGTGAACACTATTAGTGATCATCTTGAACACTATCAGTGATCAGCTTAGCTAAAAAAAATTCTGTTTCTGAGACTAGGGTACGTCAAAGAGAAGTCGAACCTATCACACTAAAACAGAACTGTCTACAGTCCTATTCCCTAAAATAATACGGTCGGCATGTTTGAAGTTACGTTAAGTTCACTTATTCTACCGATTCTTCGTATTGTCAAAATCTAAAAGAAATGACAATATCAAACATCAAATTCCAAATCAAGACAACACTTTATACGCATGCAAAGTCAAAAATACCACTAACATACAATCATTAGTGCAGAATGTTTTTGTGGTTTGAGTCAAACATGGGGACTTCCCTATAGAATTCAATACACTCTCCAGCATGCAACATTCCAAAGCTAATGAACGAAGTAAGCATATAAACAATGAAATATATACCTGCCTATCGTAATTCGGAGGATTCAGGAATATCACCAAACCTGTGTCACTCAGGCAATTTAAATTCATATGTATTAAAAGATGCTTGGAATCTGAAGTTTGTTATAAACAAATTGTTCATGTTTCCGAGATGGAAAATTTGCGGTTTTGTTCAGTAATTAACTTATTAATTAATCAACCTTAATTAAAATTAATTTAACTTTCGGACCTCATCTTTGTGGATCTGAAATACCAATCTCTCTTAATTGTCGTGAAAATCTCTTTCAGGGTAGATGTTTTGATATAAGTTGCAGTCTTGGAAAGGTGTTTAATGGTATTGCTTGCGAGAGCCCTATTCATAGTAATATCATAGGATACGATGTTTGTTTAGAACTTCAAGCTGATGATGGTCAAGATATCGAGAGTGGAGAAGCCGAGTTGTACCTTAAATTAGTAATTTTTGCTGAAAAGCTAAAGGAATCATCGGGATTTCAAGTGACATCAATAAAGTCTTTTGAACTCGAACAATGGATCTGTAATAATTCTTCAGCCTTAAAACAACAGTCAATATTATCTTTAGTAAATCCATCACCTATTAAAAGGGAATGGCTGTTTGATCTTATTTCACATATCTGGACAGGCATCACCATCAAACATCCCCGTCGTTGTGGACAGCTAAACGATAATAACTGTAATGTTAGATTTGTTAGTGGGACTAATCACACTGAAAATTATATATCCAGTAAATCAACATTAGCTGAATATAGCAAACAGGTTCTGTCCGTTCCATTTACTAGGCTCGAATCATGCTGCCAGATTTTACTCTATGAACACGACTTTCTCATGAACGATACAAATAAAAATCTGCTTATTTTGAACTCTAAATTAAATCTATCTGTCGATGATTATATATTACATGAAAATGGAACAGTTACTGTTTGCTTATCTGATTTTTTAACTAAATACGCCGTAATTTGTAATAATAAAATTAGATTTCAGGATGAAGGCACGAATACTTCTTCGATTGACCACCCAGTTAGCCCTCTAGTTAACCGAACAGTTGATGAGTTGAATGATCCTGCTATTGCTTCCAGCACTGTTCCTTATGACGTGGCTCAGGTGAAATCTGCAAGTGAAGTATTTTCTCCCTCGTTAATACATACTGAAATTATTTTTATTTTTAGTCTTGTGTTCTGTTCATTTTAGTTGATTCTATTAATATATAAGTAAGTCCTTAAGATAACTGATTTAGACTTGTTTTTAAGATATTTATGAAAATGTGTGTTTTCTCACTGATTTAGATTAATCTAAAGATATTTATGAAAATGTGTGTTTTCTCACTGATTTAGATTAATCTAAAGATATTTATTTAAAAAAAAGTGTCTTTGAGTGTAAGAAGTCCTTTTTTATTAAGATAACTGATTTAGACTAATCTCAAAATATTTATAAAAATGTGTGTTTTAGTTTGGTGCAGGAGGTCCTTATAATAAACTCGCTGATTTAGATTAATCCAAAAATATACATGAAAGTGTGTCACTGATTTAGATTAATCTAAAAATATATATAAAAATGTGTGTTTTAGTTTGGTGCAGGAGGACCATATATATAATAAACGCACTGATTTAGATTAAATTTAAAAAATATTCATTAAACGAGTGTGTTTTAGCGCAGAAAGTCCCCGTCATAAAGATAACTGATTTAGATTATATTAAAAAAAAACGTGTGTTTTAGTGTTTTAGTTTAAATAATGCTGATTTATTTAGATTAATCTAAAGATATTTATGAAAATATGCGTTTTCTCACTGATTTAGATTAATGTAAAATTGTTTATAAAATTGTGTGTTTTGATTATCTTATTTAATTATTTATTTATTTTATTATATTTGAAGGAAATCAATGTACAATGTTACTTTTATTGGACCAAACAGTCGGCAGTGATTGTTATAATAATACGAAACCTCTTTTCTTGTATAAAGTTTTATAAGAGAAACTCTCGTAAAGAAGCACTGGCCTAGGTTACATTGTGTTTCACTATTTTGAATAACATTTTTTAAATAGACTTTGGTGGTTATTTAAAGTCAGTTGACAAACCAAATTACCAAATCTGTTTGTGTAATGCAAAAAAGATGCATGAACTTTTCATAATTTCTAGATAATTTTTTATCTGAATTTAATATTTGAAAATAGTTGCATAACAATTTCAAAGTATTTAGATCTGTTTTATTAATAAGTAGCAGAAGTACGGTACCCAATGTGCTCTACCTGGCACACCAATCGCATAATTTCCATATATGTTAATACGCAATTTGTGGGTATTTCTCGATTAAACATGTCTTTTACCTTTTGGAAAGTCACCTGATATTGTTTAACCGTTGTCTACAAAAGCATTAACATTTAGATTGGATTTGATCCTGTAAAACTATTTTACTGTAATTGAAATATGAATTAAAATGTTAGGATTAAATACAGATTAAAATACGATATACCTCATTTATTGAGCATTACGTGGAATTTTAGTTAATGGGTATAAATATAAGAATTTGATGTGTGATTATTTGGAATTAAAATTACTTCACATTATTGGCCGAATGATCGCAGCAATGTATATTTATTCCAACAAGAATAAATGTTTATCATTCTAGTAACAAAGGATAGAGGATGCAAGGGAAAAGGCAATTTCATTTTCTGTCATTTATATTTTTGACTTTGGTGTTTGAACTAAATTTTGCTTTCAATTTTGTTGACGATAATGTTACACATACAGCTGTATCATCTACATCGCCGTTCTTCACGGCATCGTTTTACACAAGTAGATTTCATCAACAGGTTACGTTAATTGATGGACAATTTTGCGGTCCTAATGATTGTTTTGCTTCAGTATTAACAGCATTGCGAGTACGAAATCCTAACTGTCATCAATGTAGTTGCAATGAAGACTGTTTTCTGTACCACGACTGTTGTCCCTCTGTTTCGGTATACGCCAATATTCCTTACAGGAAAAGGGAATTTATATGTCGACAACCAGGCAGCAAACCAAGCAAAAATGGTCAAAGATATTTCCTGACATCTACATGTCCAGTCGGACAGCCACCTGACTTGGTATATAAATGTGAAGGTAGTATAGACCCTGATGTTGACGTACAGATGCCTGTTGAAGGATTTGGTCCGGATTGTTTTGGTAACTTTAAAAATAGATATTGTGCTGAGTGTCATGGTTGTAATGAAACATATTACGTTACAACGTTCCTAGAATGTATAAATAGTTCCCACGTTCTTACTGATCCTATTTCTGCCCTGGAAAAAATTACCACGGCTTTGATCACTGATGATTGTAAAATAGACTATCTTTTACCTGGTGTTATGTGTGAAGTTACTGATGAAGATGGTTTTGAATTGATTGATAGTTGTAACCAGACCGGATTGTGGGAAGAATATGATGAACTTGTTCTCAAAGGCTGTCTCTTGAAGTCCTACAAAATTCCAGTATTTGATAAATATTACAATATCTTTTGCTACATGTGTAATCATAATTATACATGGGGTCGGGTAATATTTACGCTGCATTATCCAGAGCACTGTGGTAGCGCTTGAATTAGAAATTTTAAAAGAGTGGCGAATATATACGATGCACTCAATTATTCCAGGGTGCTATATTAAGTGTACGGCGGCATATTAATTTATAGATTGTTTTAAGAACAATCCAATTTATGATATGATTATGAAATGTAGTTCATCTTCAATCCCATCACATTTATCTTTTGTTGATAATTTAGGGAATATGTAGAGACATCCTTTGTCCACCTGAACTTGAATTTAAAGAGAAGGATTCAATATGCAAGGATAAGATTGTTACCAATGCTTATGGGTATGACGTATGTGTAATAAGAGAAACCATTGAAACCAATCCATCAGAAGCTGCATTGGAACTGAACACTGTGATAAATGATATGAAGAAACAATTGGAAGTTGTGTCATTCGTTATAAAATCAAGTGAACAGTATGATTTGGAAATGTGGAATTGTGATGGAAAAGTTTTCTTTAGAGTTCAGACGCGATTCCAAATCGCATCAGTATATATGACGTCTCGCAGTTATTTCAGATCTTTACTAGGATGGATTTTTGGAGACTCTGTTTTTAAACCACCAGAAAAATGCGGGCATGTTACGAAGTCCTCATTAGAAGAAGATAATTGTAAAGTGAACGCGATATTAAATACAGGTAAACTGGATGATTTATCACATAGTACTCCCTTGATTACGTTTGTCAAATCAGTCATCTACCTACCTTTCTCCAAACTAACTGAATGTTGTCAAACAAGATTGGAAGGATCCGAGTTTGTTATTGATAAATTTGGTATTTTGACTATACTAACTTCCCAGAAAACATTAAAAGAGCTCGATTATGTGTTAGATGTTAATGATACTGTACGAGTATGTATTGATGATATTGTCCAACTACCGTATAAATCACCGTGTAGTAACCGTCAAACTTTTTATTTTGATGAGAGTGATTTTAACAGTAGACAAGGTACAACAACACCTGGTTATGAAACCAATTATGATCTAACCCTTCCTCCTGAAGCCATTGTGTATGATGACGAAACCCTATACCATGACGACATAGAAGAGTCTTTATTCGACCCGGAAACGAAAGATGAAACGTCAACTGAATCCACTACAATTGGAGATTCTATCAACAGCAACACATCAAATCGACTGATTGTTCCATTGGTCTTATTTCATGCCAATATGTGTTGCTTGATAGTGTATACCTTATTTACATAAGCTGCTATATTATAATTTATGGAATGTGCTTGTTGTAGATGCTAAAACTGTTTGTATAAATCCTTAAGTTTTTTTGTTATCACCAACCTTCAGTGAGTGAAATAAAGTTTAATTCGGATGAAAATTACTAGTTTAGATGGACTCACTCCACTAATTCATTTGCCATCTCTTCCCATGTTAAAACATAAAATTCAACCTTCTACAACTTTTTCCAGAAATCTTGTTGAAAGCTTTCCAATATGTCGAATGAAAGCCTGACCAATTTCTAATGTCTCCTAAAAAATTCAAATTATGATGATGACCATCATAATTTTGAGCTACTAAAATTGAAAGTAGACTACTACCGCTAGAGTTTGGCACTTCACAAAACGACTATTTTTAGAATTAGCCTTCCGCCTTTAGGTCTCTCATCATCTCACCAAATTTTAAAGATAATGCAATTTCAGACATCAAATTCCAAATAAAGACCAAAAATTACCCCAAAATAGGCATGCAAAACCCCTAAAGGAAGAGAAAAAGAAGATTTCTCAAAATAGAAAGAAGATTTCTAAAAATCATTTGCTTAAAATGTTTTAGTGGAGTGAGTCCAGTTTGGCCATGAAACTCAGTTTTCTCCCATTACACGTTATTGCTTTAAAGGAATATAATATATTATACTGATTATTTGTCAAGTTTGATAAATCTCCATGATACGGATTAGGTAACTTAACTGACTTTTTATTAATTTTAATATTTGCATGGGACAAATGGCAAGTTGTGAATGACATAGTCTGCAAATCTGAATAGATGTACATGGAGTTATTATAGCTACAGTGGAATGGAGGAAACGTGTAGGGAAATATCGAGTAGCTTTCGGTATCTAATGTTGGAGAAACCACCGAGAAATTTATTTCTGTATAGCATACTGGATATACATGTATATGTATATGTTTTGTATAGTCTTTAAATGTAGTTATCAACAGCAGTTGAAGCGACATTGGTATTTCAAGATTCAAGACTGCACTAGACACTAACTTGTTTGTGTTTGTATATGTATTTCAATTGTAGCCTATGCCCTTCACGTTGCACTTTCAATAACACTAAATCTATTATTGTCTTTATTTAATATGCATTGATAACTATATATAAGGTGAAAGGAAGCTCATTAACATAAAGTCTGCTGGAAGTGGAATGTCCTGACAAACGTTCACCAATATCATTCGACAGTTACCCCCATTGTCTTAGAATATTTACAATTTGAGAACATAAGTTATAATGCGTCGTAGCAACCTGGGGATCCGGTAAGGACCAAATATAAGACCTTTGACAAAGTAACGGCAGAAAAGATCAACACGGCGTTAGTAACAATCTATTTAACATGCCGTATACATTGTATACACGCTATATGCGTGTTCCTAACACAGCCCAAAAAAGCTAGAAGCTGTTGGCCAAGACAGCCCCCCAGGGAATTTGCAACTCTTAACAATCTAAATTGAGTTCTGTTACTGTGGGGGATTTCACTGTGGCCGTGTCAACTCGGCAATTCTTTGGGAAAGGTTAAATTATTTGCTTGATATAATTGTCTAGTATATATTGTTCCATGTACGTTGTAACCTTGATTTTATGTATTTAAAATTTGACTTTGCATTTCATTGTGCTAAAATGTATCCTTTGTGTAGATAACATGTATTCATATAATGATGTAAATAGTGTTTATATATTATGTATAGAAATAAATGTTAGTTGACAAAAGGTGATGACATTCTGTTATAATCAAGCTAATAGTTCTACAATATTCTTTCTTCAATGGTTTCACTATATACATTCTGTACCATTGTTTATAATTATTATTGAACAATCCTATAAACAGACTCACTCAAACTAATTAAAATTTCATCACTTTTCATCTTAAAGGGACAGATTCGCCATTTTCGGTGCTTGATTTGGGTGTTGAATAAATAACAAAAAAATAGTCATCAGAAGTACTCAATTCCTTCAAAAATACCTCAATCTAGAAATTTCACTTTCTATTTCTATAATTGTCTATTCTAACTAAAATGGCAATGTCTAGAGAAATGACGAGTCGTCATTTTAACATTCAAAAGCGGATATTTCTGGACACACGTGGATAAGGCTAAAAAGGCTAAAATTTTGACGATGATCTATAAACACTATTACTGATTAGCTGAGCTAAAAAAAAAGTACCGTTTCTGGGACTAAAAAATCCAATTGGTCAAACGCATGGCGAATCTGTCCCTTTAAATCACGAAACTCACCTTCAATAACATTTTTCTCTCATTGAAAACTCTCTTTTTGTTACATATAATAACCATTACGTAGTATCTGTGCAAAGACATAAGATATTGTGACCATGGATATTTTCGGTTATACAGTTAACCAAAAGACAATCGCTGTCGGTACAGACATTGCGATCCAAACCCAGACTCAATATATGTTTGCTAAACCCAAAAAGGTAAGAAGTAAAATTGTGTAAGTATGGACTTTAATCATAGACAATGTTAACTGCAGATTTTTTTTTGGTGATCTAAGAGCTATATTATGCAAAAACTGTATATTGTAGCGTAGAGAGAAGTTGATCAATCATAATCCTCTGCATAATTTGTTATTTTGATATAGATTTCTATCACAAGAACACTTCTTTCACAATAACTGTTCTTTCCTATCTTCAACAACCTTTTTTTTTGCTGTGAGTCTTGCTAGCATTGGTGCTTTATAGATTATATTTATCAACCTCACGATTGCATTTAATAGGCTTCACAGGAGGAAATCTACATAGTTTCAATGGTTATTGTCCTATAGGCAGAACATATTAAAAATTACATATTAACTACTCAATAAAGCCTTTGTAACGACGGTTAATATATAGAAATTCAATTATTTCAAAGATGAGACGTGTTAATCGGTTATTTGAAATTTCAAACTTGCCTTCTGTTTCTATAATGTTTATATTATTCTAATATAGAAGTATAGTGGAGTCTGCCAGCAATCAATAGACGTAGGAATAATGTTCTAACAATCTCCAGTGAACACAATAAATACACATAGTGTGCTCCTAGTAAAAATGGCTGGATTTGAAGCAGAAGATTCAAAATTACGAGTGGTACAGAATGGACGGCCTACATCTCTATTGCCTTCGGCGGTTGATAATGACAGTATTCCATATGATGACACTATAATACACAAGGTAAGTCTATATTCAGACAGCTAGTGGCAATATATCAGCGTAGACTAATATATCTGGCTAAACCTAAGAGTCAAGTAGTCAAGATCATTGTTGTAAATATATTCGACAGATCGTTATTAAACCAAACGGCGATCCTTTTTCATAGAACCAGATGATAGATAGGTCAAATGGCATCATTGACACCACAGATCGATTAGAATTTGTTGGCTTTAATTTATCTTCTAATGCGAGGTTCACACGAAGACCTTTATGGCCCATCACTGAGATAAAACTATGACACCGACGCGGTAATAATTAATATTGCAGTCCTATCATTGTCTTAAAGTGATTGTAAAGAGGTTTTCTCAACTTTTTAAGTGTATCGGGGTCACTGATAGCATCAATTTGCACCATACCAATTTTTAGTTAGCCGTTCCTGCAATTCCACTTAAACTACGTGATTGATGACGTCATTAATCGCGGAAAACCTTATGTGATATTGCCTCAGCAAATTTGGCGATTAGTGACGTCATTTAACATATGTTTTGTGTGGAATAGCAAGTTCGCGAGAGGTAACGGTGGATCGACTTCATACAAGCTTATTACCGTAACTATATCGTGATATACTGAGGATAAAAATCACAAACACTATCACGTGATTTATTACAGCATGCCAATAGTGTCTGTGACGAATTTGCTTGATTTGTTTGATGCGTTTTTTTACTAATTGTGCGGCACAGGCACGGTCATGGTCGGCGATTTTTTTCAAGAATCTAACTGACCAGGTGCGGGCACACGAGGAGACGAATATCTCCAGTCGGTAGTTTTCCACTATGTCGATAATCACGTGCAGATTATGCAATTAGAAAAAAGGGAATCTGATTGGATGATGACGCTTTGTCTTTCAGACGATAAAACAATCGGCGACAAATATCAAATTGGTTTGATATTATAAATCCTGTCGGTAACGCGATAATTTTGTCGTGGAAGCCCGGGCGACCATGAAATTTTTCTTATAATCAGCGACCAAGACTGTTCATGTGCCTGTACCCTTTGGTTACAACTTGAACCCTTTTTCATCAAGTTATGGATAAAAATCGTATTTGATTAATATTTGTTCAATTAATGAGAAGAAACTGGCACATAGTTTTCACAAAAGTTGTTACTTCAAGTAATAATGCCTTGTAAAAAGTTTCGTAATTTCAACTAGTGGTATATTTTGTTGTTAAAACAACGCACACCTATTGTACAGCAAATGGTAAAACAGGCATAATACTTTGTGCTCTTGGCACAATGTTCGACTAAAACGAATTTACTTCGTAGTTTAGGTATTGTTCAGTTCTTCTAGTCCCCCCCCCCCACCCCCTTCAAGGAGTATAACAACGCTTATCTAACGACATTGTCGATCCAATGGCGTTCTCAACCCGTTCTAGGTCAGATCGTCGAATCTTAACGTTTGTTTTAACATGTCCAAAATAATAGCCTTGACTCGGCGAATAGTGGCGACTATGGCGACAAATGCACGATTTCACGCTCTGATATTTCTGTCTCATTACGCAGAAAGAACGCATATTCGGTGTGACGGTGCCATTAAAGGTCAATCAGCAATGGTCAAACATTGGTATATCCGCGGTCGGCCACCACTTCGTTTTTGTATCGAAATTCAAAATTGTTGTATTACTTTAATACAAAAAAATGGATTTACTGATTAAAATAGTCAATTATTTCTATAAGCTATTACTTGGCTACTTTTCTTTATGAAATACGTTTTGGATTTCGGATTTCCTTTTGCGGTTCGGATTAATGCGAAGGTTTTGTTTTTATTTTTTTGATTATA